ACCATAACGCATAAAAAATTAATTCCATCAGTCGAATTTACCTCTGCCAGGAAATGGGCAGTCATGATTTGTTGAAAATGAGTGTGCTATTTGAACCAACATATGATTGCGTACCTCTTCCAACCGTCGGTCACTATTGTCAAAAGACATCATTTCGCATTTACTACAAAAACTCACTGTCTCAAGAACCAAAGGTGTAATCATGCGCATTCACCTCGTCATAACGTGTGCAGCTATTCCTGCATGTTTGTTCGGTCGTGGCTCACAGGTAAGGCTATCTGACCTCATCATCACGTCGTCTCTCTTACTTTTACCTGCTCCAGTTAAGGGCTCTACCAAAAGGCACTTGAGAGATGTAGACGACGACAATGAAGAGAGAGTCTCTTTTTCTAGTGAGGTCGAGTTGGCCGAAAGCATGTTGCCGTCTTTTGAGAATATTTCAGTTGAAGAGTGGCTTAGTGTTAAGCTGCAAGCAGACAACCCTTTTCCTGATTGGATTCATAATAATGGGGAGGGCTATCTACTGGCCTCTTGAGATATGGCAAACCGGATCGAGGAGATGAAACTTACCAACAGACTAAATCCGTACAAAGTCACCCTCTACGATACCATTAGGAATCAGTTAGGACGCGAGAAACTGCAAGAGATCATTAACGCCGGAATGAAAGACGAGAGTACCGCAATTGGCGAAGCAACTTGATTGGCTGGATTCGAACAAGAAGCCTGTGGAGTGCTTTGAGCTGTTGGAATTGAATATGGGGGAAGAAAATTTGTTGGCTAGCCCAGAATTGGAACACTTCAATTCCTACTTGGAAATCTACAATAAGAAGAATCCCACCCGCCAAGTCACGCTCTTTGGAATTTTGCGGAATCGTTTTGGAAAGAAAAGATTGGAGGATATCATTGATGCTGGGTTGGAAGACTCTGTACATCAAAATTAGCCCATCAATTGGAGTGGCTAGCCGACAATAAAAATCCTGCAGAGTATAAGCTGTTTGACTTTACGTTAGTGGCAAAGAGGACGGTAATTTTCTGACTAAACCCAAACTTGGTACATGTCATCAACTATATCGAATACTTCAATAGGAGGCATTATAACAGTCAAGTTACACTCTTTGGAATCCTTGACGATCACTTGGAAGAGACTTGCTATCCGATATAATTAAAGTTGGTAAGGAAGACTCTATTACACTACCTTTGGCAATGCACCTGGATTGGCTGACGAAGAAGAAAATGCCCGACGCTCTGTTTACTGACGTGTTTAAATCGACGTCTACGAAAAATGAAAACAATAATTTTCCGGGCAGCCAATTGTTTGCAACTTGGATGACGTACAGGGAAAGCTTCAACAAAGTGTACCCCGACGATCAAGGTAAGCTTTTTGAGATTTTGAATAGCCATTTCGGAAAGGTTAACCTGGCCGAGATTATGAGGGTTGGATAAACAGACCCTGATACAAAATCAATGGCTATATGACTGGAGTGGATGAGTAATGACAAGACGCCTGAAGAGGTTTTCAAGATTTTAGGGCTTGCCAATCAGAAGACGAATCCTCTAACACACCCAAAGTTTGCACTAGAGACTGACTTCATGGATTTATACAATGAAGAAAGACCTGACAGTCAGACCACGGTCTCTGAAATTCTTGTGGCTTGCATTCCAACGGGTTCATTACGTCACCGTTTTACTGAGGCACGCAACTACTGTTTTTATGATCAAAAAGAATACCCTGAAGATGTTTTCAGAATGCTAGGACTTGACAAAGCAGGAGCTAAGTTTTTCAAACAGCGGCAGGGATTCATGTAACTTGCGTACGTTGACAAGGTCAACGAAATTATTGTCCCGATATAGCGACACCCCTGCGCTCTCTTTTGCCATTGAAGACTCAGCATTTGCAGCCGAACTACTGTTGCTACGCTACTTACGCACTATGTGCAGATGCACTATGTGCAGAAGAAGTAGTCAGACTACTGTAGCTACGCTACTTATGCATTATGTGCAGAGGAAGACAACTCAGAGAGCTTCTACGTCTTAGGGTGCTTAACCCTCCTAGTCTAGTTCGTAAGCTTGTGCCTATCGGTTGTTGTAACCGCGTCTCAAAGAGACAAGTATCAACGATGCTTAATTCCTCAGGAGGAATAGAAAGCTCAAGCTATAGAGCAGGTTTGAAACTGATTTATATTTATGTTTACTTCTAACACTAAATATAAAAGCACCTATCCTATACTTAGTGCTAGTCCCGATTTAGTGGCTCATGATATGGAATGTATCGTCACTTACTTTAAATAAGTATAGTGACCACGTTCTCCCACGATGTGACCGAACGTACTTCAGGTACGATCACATCACCTACTTTTGTACCCAAGGTACAGCCACACCACATTGGTGTGGCAGGTGTGTATGTAAAATACACACCTTCGTGAAATGCCGTTACACGCGAATTGCCGACATCCGCCATAAGGATATTGTCTGTCTTTTTCACATACTGATTCAGCAGTTGTTTTAAACCATCGTAACGCTGATACCAATCAAATTGTTCCGAGTCTCTTGTTACAATGTAACAAGAGACTAAGGCTAGAGATACACAACGAGTGTTCATTAGATAAAGGAGCGGAACTTACTTAGCGTTTTGTCCTAGTAAGTGACCTTGCCGTTTTGTGCCATAGTTTGTTAGCAGGTGGGAAGATGGTGGTGTGAAGGTGTGTTGTTTGTTGTCTTTTTGTGTGATGACAGTAAGTATAGTGCTGGCATATGTCACAAAAAGTGAACTTACTTGACCGATAACTAGCATAGTAAATGGTACTTCAACTTGGTGAGAACAGACAGACATTGACAGAAAAGTATGTCTAAAGTACTGCTGCATGTAGCAACATAACTGTCACTTTTGGTTCGCTAAGAAGTAATAGCTGTTATGGACTACTTAGCTGTTCATTTAAAGCTACGCAATATAAGGGCTTTTTGTCTACCGAGTTCATGTGCTTTGAATTCTTATTGTCTAAAGAATCTCATACATCTTCATTGACGTAAGTAAGAGCGTAGCGAATGACCTCCCACTATGATGTTTTTTAGCATAAGTTTGGTCACTTACCAAGTCGAAGGTATTACTTGTGTCTCCTGTGACCTTTTTTGAAGTGCAAGAGAGCTAAATTTGCTGCCGTCACTAACTCTATCGATAAGGACACTACGAAGCAGGCGCGTGGATAAGATGACAATTTTGCCGTCAAAGGTATGAATGACCCGTCGTTGGGGTGAATGGTAAGAAAGATTATACCTGACAAATGCCATTGCAAGGCGTAGTCTACATGAGCGATAGGCATACAAGGTTGCCAGCCTAATCATCAGTATCCAGCTGCATCAAACATGTGTGGTCTTCAGGGCTTTCTGCGAATGCGATGAGCCACCATCTCGCATCAAAGGCGGTAGGGCTGCACCATGACATGAGCTCCAGCGACAACATGAAAATGGCAGATCTTCGTGGCCCATCATTGCAATCAAACAGCGGACCAGTAGATACAAAGCTGTCCGACTAGGTTAAGATTACAACGACGACTTGGTAAGACTTCAGTCAACAGCAACTAGATGGTAAGAGGACCTCCCCGATGATGCAGAGCGATGTGTCCACTCAGTTCAGAAACAGCGTGCTACGCGTGGAAGACAACTGAGTAGTACACTCTTTTGCTGCTATCACTGTAGCTGAAATCAATGACTCACGAGCAAGCGTGGGGTTCATTTCATCGCCAAAACATGAGTGGAGTAAGGATCAACACTTGCGGTTTGTGGCCCGCCGGTGATCGTCTTCAAAATCTTCGACATTGCTCTCTACATTTACGTTTCCAATTTGATCCAACACAACCTCGGTTGTCTACACAATCATTTGCTTCAGCGTACGTGGAAATTGCTCAAGCTTCTCGGAACACCCTTACCAATAGGTGCAGAGGACAAGGCATTTTGATCAGGGGATCAAGGCTTCCGTTGAGCAAATGGACAGTTACGATGCCGATGCGTGCAGAATGGAGGTAGAGGTTGGAGGGCAAAGGGGTTCGCATTAAAGCTAAGCAGCTTATAAAGGAGACAAAACTGCAGCTGCAAACGGCATCTACTCGAAAGTCTTTGGCCATTTATAACATCTGAAAGAAGGTAGTCATTTCATCAATTAAGCATGCCGGTAGACAACTCAAGTGAAAGAAACGTGAGCGCGTGGAAGCCGACAATGCACAATCAGCTCAGCCTCGACAGTGCGAAGCAGGATCAAGTGCGTATATCGTTTGAGCTGACCTGGCTGAGCCGACTGATTTTAAGCAGAAGCTGCAGCCAGGGGTTGCACTCTCGGATACTGGGTTATACAAAATGTGTTTTTTCTATAATGAACAGGTTTATTTGGGTTTTATCAAAATTCTTCGGATTTGATCAAAATTCTTCGGATTTGATCAAAATTCTTCGGATTTGATCAAAATTCTTCGGATTTGATCAAAATTCTTCGGATTTTGATCTAAATTCTTCGGATTTTGATCTCATGAAAATAAAAACCTTGTCAAGAGTAGTAGTAGAAAGGAATAAAATGCCAACATTTCTGCTGCCTGTAACCCAGCGTTCGCTCCGCTTTGCGTCTTCTTTGCTTCATTGTACCTCTTTGTTATCATCGTCATCATCTATTTCTTCCAATCGTGTTCGGTTTCTCATTGTATCCAACTCACGGAATCTTGAACGTACTCTTCGTCTTCATTTTTCGAATCTCTTGGCCTCCCATGAACATGAATCCATTCCCACCTGGTCCGACGCAAGAGATATACAAAGCGCTTTAGGTGTTTGTGAAGGGGTTATTCTAGCTACCAGTGGCTCTGGTGATGATGTGATCAATCTACCAAGTAGCCCAACGGACGAGTGGCTTCAATGCGAAAAGACTGTAGCAACTTTCGTGTCGAAATGCCATCGAGTTGTCAAGTTATCGTGGACAGAAGGATTTGTAGAAGAGAAATCTCCGTCTAGTGCAGGAAAAGCCAATTGGGAGATTGAAGAAGAATTAAAGCTAAGAATTGTGGAAGGGGATACATGGGCTCACAACCTGACGATTTTACGAGCAACGATGGGGATGGACGTCTTTCTACGAGGTCGATTGTTTGAGTTGGTGTGTGGAAGAACGCTCTCGACGAGTATCAAGAGAGGGCGTATCGCATTTGTGCATCCTTTAGATGTCGCAGAGAGTTTGAGTGCTGTGGTAGAGAAGGTGAGCATTGGTAAAAGTGGTGAAGATGTCACGAAAGAAGCGTTCAAGCTGACTGGACCCGAGGCATTGTCGTTTCCAGACGTCGCCAAGTTGCTGTCGAGGGGAATTGGGGAAAAAGTGAGCTATTCGCATTTCCCATTGTGGGCAGTGCAGCCAGCACGCTGGGTGCATGGTGTCCCCGGCGACGCTATCGAGGAGGAACTTGCGGTTACACGAGCGTTGGAATCAGGAACACAGGAAGAAGTTGACACAGGTTTCATGGAAACGCTGCTGGGTCACAAACCACGCTCTTTTCAAAGATTTATTGCTGAAAACGTGGATGCGTGGCCGCGCACACACCCAACGTAGGATGCGTGAGGTAGATAAAAGTCGTTCTGCTATGCTTTCATGTTGGATCATTTGTGTTGTGCCATAAGGGCACGATATTGTTTTGAAGCGAAAATGATTTTGATGTTCTGCTCTGTATAATCGTACAATGCTTTCGAGATAGTCACAACCATAAGCTACTACTGTCATTTGTCTCTCCGATATACAAGGCTTGGAAATGTTTTGCAGCGTTTGCATTGCTTGCAAGCTTTGAACTCTGCAACGCATGGTAACAAAAGTCATCTTTTGCCGTAGAATCCCATAACAGCTAGTTTTGACCGGCACCGCTTACTTATTGTTTCGTACCTGACATCCATAGGTTGTTTGTTAAGCAAATCTAGTAGAAAACGAAGACTGACCTGCAAGGATATTTTAAAAGACCCCGTGCAAATTCTGCCTCGATACATCAACACCGTTGCTTGACAATCACCGCTACCATACCGTTATCATCATCTTACATGTCTGCCGGAGCAGCGTTTTATTGCACTTCATGTAGCACTTCCGACCCAAGTCAACGTACAAACTTCATTCTGCTTGAATGAATCACCAATTGTTTACAGTGATTTATCTGGTTGTTTATTCTAACGCCAGATATGCTAAGTCACCACATTGTGTAGTAGAATCAGGCATCCAATTCCCGTTCAAATTGCATTTTTTGCTTGGGTAACGGCATTTAGAGGTAGGTTTCGTCGTAGTAGTTGAATTAATAGCAAGGTCTACATGACGTAGTCTGGTTCCTGACGAAACAAACTTAGTTGTATTCTCTTTGAGTGACGCCAAGTCTGCATAGTAGTGGACTATGTCCGAATAATGTGTAAGTAGAAACAGTAGTCTATTCTGTTGGCTTTTATCTACAACGAAACTTGGTTGACGAATGTACTGCAAGACTTCATAAAGTTCCTTTCCCCGCCCTACTTTCTCATACAATCTTACCGTGCAGAAAGCGTTGCATGTTGATTGATCAGTCAGTGCATGTGTCGTAACGCGCATTTGCACACCTGATGGCCAGAATAAATTATAAACAAACAACTATCAAGACTGATGCATTGATTTGTTGAATGTGCGGCTCTTGGAGTTGAGCGTTACGTATCAGTCGTGCATGACGGAGAATATATCAAGTTCGATTTACATCATTTAACATTTACCGAGAGTACTAACGCGGACTAATAATGCAATCAAACGTCGTAAACGCCAACTAGCTGTTGATGAGTCGAAAAGTATGCAATGATTCGAGGACGTAGCAATGGTCGAATGATACTACAATATCCTGCACCGGTCTTTTTATACTTCAACATTGTGAGCTAGCTGTTCATGCAGCATCGGAGGCACGTCAGTAGATTAGCATCAGCTTTTCTTCGGGAACCTTCCTTTGACTTCGTTTTCAGTTGCAATAAAGCATCGACTTGTCCTATATACAACGGACATGATCCTGTACGAAAATACTTTAGCAAACGTTTTATTATAGCTCCAACCGCTAGAGTTTCACTTTCTTTCGTTGCCTTCTTTTTGATTCTTAGCAAATGCGTTGTGTACGTCATGTCCATATCGTAACGCAATTCATAAAGCTTATTGACTGACTTTAAATCATTAATGGCCGACCACAACCGTAGAATGTGCGACATGTGTTCACGTTGTGTGTCGGTTAGCAGCTTAGTGATTGATGGTGAAGGTTTTCGACACGTCAACGGCATTGCGCCAAATTCTAATCACTGTCCTGATTGGCTGTTCTTGATCCGACACCCAGTATAGAAAAACCCAAAAGTTTGTCGATTTCATTTTTGGGTGAACAAATGTCCAAAGACGAGCTTAGTATTGAGCACGGTACGCTGTACCACCCAAATACATTGGAAATGAGTCGGGTGCTACACAAAATTTGTTTTGTCCCAGAAATGATCGTCACCCACTTTTATCCGACCACACCCGACTTCATTGTCCCTTTTGCTTCCTCAAAGTCGGATCTATTTGTAACCATTATGGCCGTAGGGATCACATCAACACGCAACGCGCCAATGCTCAATTTCTCAGGCTATTATCACAAACGAACATCTTCCGTCGATCTGTCTCAGTCCACTGCTTGGCTAGAGCACCTTCAACTTAATTTATGCACCGTCAATAACACTCATGCGAATGGCAAATCATCAAAGGTGCAGTACCAAGTGCAAGCTACTTACACGCCGCCATGCTGCCAAGACCCTGAACTCGTATGGACTGTCAGTCGACCTTTTGACGACTTTCGTCGCTTCCGTAAACAGTTGATGCGAGATCTGCAGAATGGTCATGCGTGCCCCGCAGAGTGCAAATGGCTCTATACGGTAATCAAGAATCACTTTCCCAAGCCGAATTTGCTGCCCATCTACTCGTCACGTGTCGTGGAGACGCGACGACAATCTCTCATACGATTATTACGGACACTTCAAGCATCACTAATCAATAGAGGCAACCAAGGCTGCAAAGTGCTGGTGCAGAGTGTCTGTCGCGCTTTTACAACGTTTATGGTAGGCGACAACACTCAGCTGCCCGACATGATGATGAGACTATCCGACTGCAGCTCAGGCCAGAGCAGTCGTGCTTCAGCCACGTCATTCACGTCATCAGGATGTAGTGACGAGGAATGTTGCTCGAAGGATGTTTCGCCAGCCCGTCGCTTTGAGATGCAGAAGCGACATGATACCCAGGAACTGTTTATTTATCGATAAGCAAAACTCAGTGATTGCAACGATATATGTGTGGAACCAACTGAATAGGGCAGTATTTGTATGTGCGCTCATTATAAAGTTATAGAACGCTGTAATGAGAATGTGAAATTTGATTTATCGTAGTTTGTGTGATGGGAGTAAATGTTCCGTGTTCGCGTTGAAGTGCAAAACTTACAGATCACGGCGTAGACATACACCAGGACCAAACCGTAGCTTACCATGACCACAAATTAGTTTTTTCATGCTTTCGACCATAACTTGATTCAAATAGCGTTCTCTTATCAAAACGATGATTTCAGCTAAGCTCATCATTCGACACTCAAAGCGCAACCTTTTTTTGCCAACTTTTGCTTTATGTAACGAGTGCAGCATTGCAGAGTAGTCGTGCACAGCCAATGTGACGAAAACGGCTGAGTCTGCCAAGACAGACGCCTTTGGCATGAGGTCATTTTCACTACACTAGCCCAGGCTGCGATCAACGCTGCATAGTTCCATTCGTACACCAATACGATTGATTGACCGAGTAGCAACATATCAGCAAGTATTCACATGAAATACGTGTATAATGCATTAGTTCAGCGGATTCCAAGCGGTCCTACACATCAGTGCTTGCCCCAAAGTCGGATTAGGCGTCGTATCTGTAAATACAATCGTCTCTTGGCCTTCCTTTGAACAAATCGTCCACAACGTGCCATTCCGAAGCAAAGCAAAGGTTTTATCAATCAATGTTTTGAGGAAGAAGAGGACAAATGTGAGATACATTCGTGCACCGATGACAGATCGTATCTACCTTCACGGCTGTTTAAGACAGAATACAAAGGGTAGTTGTTGGTTGCATTCACTAGGCGCGTTGGACTAGTCTACTCTACGTGTTTGATTCATATCGAGTAAACACAATTCGTCTTTCAATTCAACTGGGAAATATAAGAAACAGCATTGTTAGTTCCCAGAAAAAGACTTAACAGTCAGTCTACTTTAGTTGCTTTGTATCATTACTTTGCCCACGTTTATATATGCAAGAAGTTTATTGCATCGATTGCGAGATTCACGAAATATTGGCTGCCAGTGCTTACATATAGATGATATTACCATATCAATCCAATCTGAGTCCTTATTTGAAACAGTAGTCAGATGCCGTCTCTATTCCGAGCAAAGTAAGTGCGACGTTTTTTAAAATTTAGAGTACCTACTTTTAATTTAGTAACGATAAAATATATATCAAAATACCAGAGCTTGAAGTTTCTAAAATTACCACAGCCTGTCAAAGAGAATACTTGTCGAGTATTGATTGCAGCATACTTTATAATATATGTTATCTATTTCTCAGCTTTGCGCCATTGTAATAAAAAGATGACCCAAAATTATTAAAATGGGTATGTAGCCAGTGGTCTCATTTTCACGTTATCAGATTTGATCTCTATAGTCGGACATCCTTTTTTTCTCCTACCGCTCCCGATTAAATTTCTAGTCCCTTACAAAACTCAAGATTGTACAAATTCCAAACTCTCTCGAGTCGGTCTCTTTAGTCTTTCAAATCAGAACAAACCTCCACCCACACAAAGACTAGACTCGAGTACGGTATACGTACGTACGCGACGTGAGATATCTCCTTCCCTGTACATTACTAGTCACTACCTTGTATACGATCATACGCACGTCTATCTCTGCTCTGTACTTGTCTTTTTCTTTTTAATTGTACGTACTCACAGAATATAAAATCATTCCTATTCCATGACGTCTCAAGGTGGTGTACAGATCAAGATTATCGAAGCACGTGGCATTCTAGCAGCTACTAGCAGTGGTACAAGTGATTCATATATTACAGTGATGCTCTTGGATTCAAAGGGTATGGAATTAGAGGCTGGTGGGAGGTTGAAAACGAAAAGTATCAAGAAAACACTCACGCCACAGTGGAATGAGACGTTTGTGATTGGCGATCGACTGGATTTACGTGTTGCTACGACGCTACGGCTACTATTGAGTGATTCTGATGGTGCTTTCTATAGTGACAATGTATTGGGTGTTGTTGACATTCCTGTGGCGATCTTACTGGGACTACACGAGCCATTGGATAATTGGTTTCAGTTAACGAAACATACCAAGATGAAAAAGGATTCAAAAGGTGAATTACATCTTGTACTTGAACGACTCGTGTCAGAGGAAATGGTCAGTGGTGGTAGAGGTACAGGTGTCAATATTGACACGACATTTGAGACGAAACAGTCGGTAGGGTCCATGAAGAGCAACGAGCCTCCAAACTTACTCTACGTGACATTGAAATCAGGCAAAAATCTACTTGGAATGGATAATAATGGCACTACAAGTGATCCCATGGTGATTTTTACTTTTGATGGACAGAAACATGAGTCAATGAAGAAGGAGAAAACGCTACGACCGCAATGGAATGAAAAGTTTGCATTTTTTGCGCCAAATATAAAGAAAAATCTTGCAGTGTTGGTGGAAGATTATGATATCACCATTAATGACTTTATGGGTAAAGCAGAAATTTCGCTAAAGGATTTGATTCCGAATGTGGAGAAGAATGTGACGGTAGAACTTGGTGGTAAGAGAGGCAAAAAGGACAAGTTACAACGTGGTGTTATTCTGCTCACGCTATTGTGGACATACGCACCTGATGCGCACGATATTGCAGTGAAGAAGAAAAAGTCGTCGTTTTTGCCGACGTTTGGTGTTCCGGATAAAGACTACGACTCGAGTGACGACGATGGCGTCGAGATTGACGACAGTACCGCTAACAAGAAGTCGGAAGACGAGCTGAAGAAGGAGAGACAAGAGAAGGCAGAAAAACAGGCGGCGTTAATGAGCGAGCTTAGCAGCTTTGAAATCAAGTCTGGTGACTACAATGTGCAGGTGCACGTTATTGAAGCACGTGACCTAGTGCCGAAGGATTCTACCGGTACCTCAGACCCAGTCGTGTATGTTGAAGCATTTGGCGAGAAACAGCAAACTGCTGTAAAAAAACAGGTGCTGAGCTGTTTTTGGGACGACCTGTTGATCTTTTCGTTCCGTAACTTGGACAAGTCCGAAGTGGAAATGGGATACATCCGTTTAAGCGTCATGGATGCTAATACACTCCAACGTGCAGAACTGATTGGTGGAGCACAGTTTGACGTGTCGTACATTTACTCCCAGGCGAATCATCAACTAGCAAATGTCTGGATCGGTCTTACAGACATTTCGAACACGACAAACCAAGGTATTCAAGGATACCTGCGAGCGTCAATTTCAATCATTGGGCCAGGGGATAAACTCGTTCCGCCTCCCTCGCCGTTCGGCGAAGGTGCGATAACTGACATGAACAATGTCATTATGCCGCCAAGCGTGACGCAGCAGGTTTATTTTGTAGGAGCAACTATTCACGTGGCTGAGCACTTACCGCCCATGGATGTAGCTGTTGTCGGTAGAGGTGGTCTAGATGCGTACATTAAGGGATCCATTGCTGGTGGGGACGCAATTCGAACTCGTGTGCGCACCAAGAAAGGTCGGCGTGACGAGCTTTGCCCGAGCTTCAACGAGGAACTGATGCTGGTTATTCGTGAGCCATCCATGGCTGATTCTATTCAGCTTGGTGTCTTTGATTGGGATCAAGTGGGATCTGACGAGTTGGTGGGATATGTGTACCAGAGCGTAAAACTCGTGAAGGCAATGGGTGGTAGAATTCGACCCTTTTGGGCCAACATTTATGGAGCACCTCTGCGTTTGAAGTCAGTGGGCGTTCGAGATTCCATGAAAAAGCAGATGAACATGTATCCCGATATTGCCAGCACGTACCGCGGTCGTCTTCTTATCAGTATGCGCATTTTAACAAACGACGACAACCAGTTTGATGAAACCAATCAGAAGCGTAACACAAAGCGTCTTCCGCGGAACTTGTACCCTCGAGAGCGTATTTATCGTATGCGAGCTCACTTTGTGTGGGGCAGTGAGATTCCATCATTTTTGAGCTCTAAACGTCCTGGTCAAAAGTCAAAGATGCAGCTAGTGATGGCGTGTGGTCTAAACGAAATTGCATCTTCTCGAAACCGGAATGTAAACGGCGTAGTCGAGTGGAATGATATGGAAGAGAGTGAGAAGATGTTGCTCCCTGAAGACCTATCTCAAGTACCGGATATTTTCTTGTATCTGTGCAAAGGAGAAGGTGATACCCGAAAGGCTGTGTGCTTTCGCCGCTTCACTGCGAAAGAGCTTTTGGAGGACCGTGGTGGGTTCAACAGCGACGTAGAATGGATTTTAATGAAGGAAGACCAAGCAATTGATGCACTAGAAGATGAAACGTTCCCAGGTAACGTGTTGGTTCGCATGGGCTTTGGAACAGAGGAAATGGCGATAAAGACGTCGTGGGATCGCTCGGACCTGGACATAGTGAACAAACGGGTCCCGTACCAGCTTCGCGTTCATATTTACCAGGGTCGCCGTCTTCCACCAGCCGATTCAAACGGATTATTGGATCCGTTCCTTATTATCCGGTGCACGGGTGAAAAAGAGAAAATGACTTCGAAAAAGAGAAAGACCAGGGACCCTCTATGGTACGAAACCATTTATTTTGATGTGAATTTGCCGGGGCTGAAGTATGCGCCTCAAGTGATGCTGCGCGTTATGGATTACGACGACTTTGACAGCAATGATTTTGTTGGCCTGGTTGCGCTCAACCTCTTAGAGGCACATATTCGCACGTCGGAGCAGCTGTCGAGCGGGAGCGGGTCAACATTACCGGACCCCAAGTGGCATTCAATCATGTTCCAGGAGCCTGGCGATTGCGAAGGCGAGATTCTAGCATCTTTAGAGCTTGTTCGCAAACAGTTTCCTGATGAAAAGGTGCCTCGAGCGCTTCCGATCTTGCCGAGGAATCGCAAGGCATTTTTGGAAATTACCGTGCTTGGTCTTCGCAACATGGAGCCGTATCACTTTTTGCCCATCCAGCTTCCGTTTATCGAATTCGTGCTCGGTGGCAAGGAACACGCGTCTCAGGAAATGATCACTGAAAAGTCGAAGCGACCGTCTGGAAGTAACCCAAACTTCCTGCAACGCATTATAAAAGAGGTTGATCTACCTGAAAATGCGCATTTTGCGCCTCGACTGAACATCATCGTGAAAGACACGCGTCTCGGAGGTTTCCAGACGCCAATAATCGGCTCTGCTTCCATTGAAATGAGCTCAAAGATTCCGTGGTCAAAGCACTACCGTCCGCCTCAAAATGACACGCTTGCTGAGATTGAGCTGGAATCTGCAGATGAGTGGGAAGATGATGCGCCTTTGCTCGGAAAAGTAGCTAGGGGTAATGACTTTGCGTCGTTGGAATCGATTGATAATGGAGCTGGTGTATTTGGGGCGCTAAAGAGTATGGGTATTGAACTTGACCCCAATGGAACCTTTGACCGCGCTTCGTCTCGCCGATCGACACTAGGGGGTGAGGAAGATGACTTGGAGTCAAAGAAATATCTCAAGCACCGTGAGCTACTGGATGGCGAACTGGAGTCGGAGTTAAAAACGACACCTTTTGAAAAGTATGGCTTGCACATTGGTCAAAAGAAGAAAAAGTCGTCTCTCCTGACAGCCATAAATCCGTTTGCGAAGAAGTCGCGGGGACTTGGAAACGACGTTGGTATGTACAAGATGGCTGGGTATTTCAAGGGTTTAATCCGTGTCATTGAACGTGAGGACGAGAAGCCGTTGTTTGACTTTAACACGTTGCTTCAGACACTGCCGTATGAAGTCCGCGTGTATGTCTTAGACGGAGTTGGTTTTGCGCCGATGGATCTTGGTTTGAATGGCCGTCCAGGCAAATCTGATCCTTATCTGCGCTTGACACTTGGTAACAAGAAGCTCAGTGATCGTAAGAACTATATCAAAGACACAACCGAACCCGATTTTTACAAGATGTTCATACTTAATTCGACGTTCCCAGGTGCGAGTATTCTAACAATTGAAGCTATGGACCATGACCTGATTGGAGGTGATGATTTGATTGGTAAGACCACGATTGACCTTGAGGATCGTCTGTTTGATAAAAGATGGCAAGCGATGGGAAAAATGTACGAAACTTCGTCTCGACTGCGGTTGAAGCCGCTAGAGACCCGAACTATGAACATTCCAACGTCTCGAGCTCCGATGGGCACGATTAAGCTATGGATCGACATTTTAAGTCCGGCTCAAGCTCACGACTATCCTCCTATCGATATTTCTCTGCCTCCACCAGTCGACATGGAGCTACGCGTGGTGGTATGGAAGGCACGTAATGTTCCTTCGTTCGATTCAATGGAAGACATGAATGATTTGTTTTTTCGCTGTTGGATGGAAGGGTCTAAGTACCAAGAAACTGATATCCATTGGCGTGCTAAGAAGGGCAAGGGCTCGTTCAATTGGCGCATGAAGTTTCCTATCACTCTTGGTCACAAACAAACCAACACGAAGATACCGTATTTCCACATCCAAGGCTGGGATAAGGACGTGCTCTCTGCGAACGATGCGATTGGCGAGCACACATTAGATCTTGGACCTTCGTTTCGCCAAGCTTACAAACTCAAGTCGAATGTCCAGGTCTACGAAGATGATGAAGAGACGAAGAAGAAGAAAAATAAGGCGCTTTCTGACGATGATGCTGCGGTTAAGAAGATTAGAGAGGCTACTGGTCTTTGGGACGATGATGATCCACCAGATTCGAAATGGCTGAAGCTGGAAAGCCTTGATCACAAGACTAACACACGCAACTTTATGGGTGAGGTGTGTGTCTCGCTCGAGTTGGTTCCTGCGGAGACTGCGAAAAAGAATCCTGTGGGTCAGGGTCGTTCGTCACCAAACAACTCGCCCTACTTACCTCCTCCTGCCGGACGTCTTTCGTTCTCACTCAACCCGTTCAAAGTACTCAACGATCTGCTGGGGCCGTCGATCTGCAATCGGCTCATGTGCTGCTTCTGCTGCATCCTTTTCATGGTGCTAGTCTACTTCTTGGCACCGTTTATCAATGTGGCAATTATTACGCTAAAAAAGTAATGCTGACGGCTGTTGCTTACCATAATGCTCTTGCCTCCGTGTTGATTAACGTTCAGCGACGACTGACGTGGCGCTTTGATATCGAATACCCTTGTGTGTATCATTCTTGGTCTTGCACGATTGCAACTTGTACCGCTGCAAGGTTATAAATTCAACATGCTCCATGATGGAACCGCTGCTACACGATTGCTTTTGTTCTTGCAACGAAGCTAATGGGAGGACATCTATGACTTGACCGTACGTATTATAACAACACGGGCGATATCTGTGCCACCAAGATTCAAAGCTCTCATTGAATACATGGCCTATGTTGAAGTAGTGCATTTCGTCAAGCAGGACTGGGGTGGGCTAACACAAGTGTCATTGGCGGAATGCTACAAGACTTCGTACGAATCAGCTCGTGTCAATTTCGTTTGAAGCCGGTGATTGCAGGTCTTGCTTGCCATTGTCGATTTCAGGGCAAGCATTTCTTCCATTTCCATGAAATCTCAGAGCAAACATACATCAGTCCGAACCACCTGCGAACGAAATGGTCCAACTTAATGCCTTGATGCAAAGTCTGTAAAACACTATTTGCAAATGTTGCTAAGAGCTTACAATGCAGCCACATTTAAACAAGCGCAAAAGCATCAAATCAAACGCCCAGACAACAAGTGAAACCTCATCATAAAAAGATGCGACGCGGCTCATACTGATGCATTATACACAATTTGGTCACCACCACAATCGCCCACCAAAATCTGTCCAGACTGGCCATTTAGATTTTCTTTTATTCCTCAAGACAAAAGTGAAAAGGAGTAAGTCCTGTAACAGGAAACATGAGTGGGGCGATGCATCTAAACACTCCGCTTCATCAAAATATGCAGGTACTTACTGGTGTCTCAAACCCTTCGGTTGCACGTCTTATACAATTTCTTCTTCACGGATCTTGACGCAGAGTGGCACATTGCACTGTGAGACTTTGCAGTTCATAGCATGGTATGCAAACAACTCGGTTGTGATCTGCGCAAGTCGGTAAGAACGCCACTTATCGCTATGCGACGCCCAGCACACACTGCGCAGAAATCGCTTCATGTGCAAACAAATGACACGAAACTCGTCGTCTGTGCACTCGATCTGGTCGCAGTTGCATGCATGGATCAACAACAAATTGCTCTTGTTCGGATCACCTCCCAGCACCTGTGCAATCTGCACCAACGTCAAAAAAACAGCAGAAACATGTAAGCTTCATATCGGATGATCAAGTCATACATACAACAAACCAAAAGTAGCATTTCCTCTTTTATCACGTACAGATAACGATGTTGCTTCTCTCGCGGGTACATCGTCCCTTTCCACACTTTGTCTTGTCCTGATAGTCTCAGAATTGACACCAAACCTTCTAGTCACATTTTCATGAGCCATAGCTGGTTGTACATTCTTTACATGTATTCCAGTCCCACCAATTGAAGGTTCAAGTTTACACGTAGCACAGTACCACGTGTTTTGAGAAACGTGGGCCAATGGCGGATCCAGACAACAAATATGACATGCCACATGACACTTTCCACACACAATTCCTTCCTTCTCTCGGTCAACTCGTTTACAAATAGGACACTGAATATGATGGTTTTGTTGTTTCTCATCATCATCAATGGCTTGTCCTTCTTCTTCTTCTTCTTCACCTTCTTCACCTTCTTCCATCACCACATCCATCGTCTGATCCTGATCCTGATGCTGTTGTAACGTCTCGGACTCAAAATCACTCAATTCATCCATTGGATTTACTTCCCGAGTATCAAATTCACTGGATGATTCACTCTGATAATCACGTGGATTGATAAATTGTGGAATCCCTGTCAATGTGGCTGTGCTCATAATTGGCCCTACGAACCCAAAATACAACATTTTATTTTGGGTTTATCACAAAACAAACACAAGAAAAAGTAACAATTTGAAATAAATATAGAAATAGAAATAGAAATGTACGTGGGGTAGTTTGGACAATCGGTCCAGATGGTGGCACAATAGGGCCAGATGGTGGTGCACAATCGATCCAGATGGTGGCACACTTGGTTCAAAATGAGAGCCACCACGACCAGCATTAACACGTGAGAATAATTCTCCTGGAAGTTTTGATATTGTAAGTTGAACGTGTGTATCAATACGATGTAGATCATGGTCTTGTAGGACAGCTTCCTCCCAATCAAAACGTTTATGTGATGCCATCTCTGGTCATTATTCTTGTTGATAGGTTTGTCGATTTTAGATAAAATAGAAATAGATAAAACGAATGCAATAGAATCGAAGTGTGTCTATCAAGATAATATCCAAGACAATAAATAATATCCTTCTTTTGTTGGATTTTGTCAATGATCTTGTAAATATCAAATGATCCAAGATATTGATTTGTCGAGTACTTCCTACCTGATATTATCCATTTCTCAAGAAATTTCCCAGTCACAAGCTCAATATTCCTCTCTGAAAGTAACTTTAAGGACAGTCAGTGTACACACGAGTGTTTAAATGTGATATTTAATGACAGGAAAAAGAAGCTCGACAAAAACAACTGGATGCACTGTGGATAGTTCAAATGGGAGACTTGAGCGTAGTAACGTACGTAGTTTCTTCATAGCGGCTAACCGATCCATCACGTATCATCACGTGGATACTTAGAAGCAAATAAAACCTTTTGGTCATGTAGTAGACGGACATTAATATTGACTGAACGACGGCATTGAGCAGACACGGATGCTTACAACAATCGACTTGGTGCAGTGGAAAGTTAGTGAGCTTTACTGCACTTGTCAAAAACACAGAGCTCGGTGATAGGCCGAGTGAATAAATTGCTCTCCACATCCAAGACACACACTTGATAATACCCCACGTGATGTCACAGCCAATCAATCTCTCCATCTCTCCATCACTTACTCAATCATCATCACACTTGATTCTCCAAATGTCACCTAACCAGTCAGTCATCACATGAGCTCCGAAGAAAGCACCTTTATAACAACACTTGACCTCGTAGCTGTCGACACATGGGTACATTACACTGCAATGCTTGACAATGAAGTGCATGGAATGTAAAGAGTTCAATAACAACTCTTGCAATTGGATACGATCGCCATCGTTCACTGTGTGAAGCCCAACAAACAACACGTAGAAATCGCTTCATATGTGAACATAATACTTGAAAATCAGCATCTTGACACTTGGGATTGTCACAATTACAAGCGTGTGTTAGTAATTGATTATTACGTTCTTGTTCATTATCAGATACTCCAACGGCTTCGTAAGCAGCAGTGAGCTACATAGACAGAGAATTCGAATAACAATTATTAGAGATGGATAGAGATAGCGATGGAGATGGATAGAGATAAAGAAAAAAAGTACATATATACACTTCTATTCCCATCAGGATGATTGTATCTTACCTCGTAAGCAATAGCTGTTTCTTCTTCCTCTAAAATCGATTGTAAGTTCTCCATATTAAGTGAGTAAGAGGTGACTGATTGCGTGTGGAGATTGGTCGATTGGGGTCTTATTGGTAAAAAAAGGAGGCGTTTTCGACCCTTTTCGATGTTTTCATCATTTTGAGAGATGGATAATATCGATTTTTTGTTTAAAGTGAAAAATTCGAGATTAATTGAAAATAAAGGTCTACTATGTCGGAATGTACCTAATTTACAACTCATTTCGACCCTTTTTTTTCAAGAAAACGATCCTTTTAGTGCTACCCCCCCCTCCCCCGCAATAACGGCGTCGACGTAATATTCACACCCCGTGGTGATTCTCTACAATCGACTTATCACTTGATCATGGCATCATCTTCTTCTTTACCATCTGTTCATATAAATGAGCTCTCCTTCCACTGTCTAACAACAGTCTTCTCATCACTCTGGACACTTCTCTCCGAGGTGTCACAAAACGTAACCCGTCAACGGTTACTCTATTTTTTTCAACAATATGTACCCATTTTTGAATGGTTACCCATTTATAACCTTCACGATGATTTTCCATTTGATTTAGTATCGGGGATTACAGTGGGACTCATGCTTGTACCCCAGGAAGTATCCTTAAGTGCGATTATGGGAGTACCCCCTATCTATGGTCTCTATACTGCTGCTGTCGTGCCATTAATTTATCCCCTATTTGGTACTTCACGTGTCCTTTCTGTCGCAAATGGTGCTGAAGTAAGCCTATTAGTGGGGTCAGCAATTAAGAAAGTCGAAAGTCAAGAAGAACGTATTGCAACAGGCATTCTATTAAGTTTCTTAAGTGGCATTGTGTTAGTATTAATGGGTTTTTTTCGTCTTGGGGTGATTGCGGATTTTTTTTCACGACCGGTCATGGGTGGGTTTTTATCGGCTGGTGGTGTCCTGATTATGTTGTCTCAAGTTGCCAGTTGGCTTGAATTGGATATTAAGAACAAAGATTTACCGGTATTAACGGTTTTTGATTTACTGGAAAAATGTCCTCAATTAAATGGATTAAGTTTTGCACTCGGGATCGTGTCGATTATTGTACTAGTGAGTATGTACGAATTCAAACGAAAACTTGTGAATCAATTGACACGAGTGGAAGAAGAATTTGAAACACAATTTGTTATTGAAACATCGAGAGCTTTGGAGCAATTATCCATGAGTAGAAGGTCCTTGGATAATGATGGAGATGGGGATGATGATGAGGCGAAGAATGAATTGGAAAATCAAGAGAATCGAGATGGAAAAATCGATTTGAGACAGGTGGGGACGAAGGATGGAGGTACGATGGAACTAGGACATGAAATGAAAAGAAAAAACATGCAGCTTAAACGACAGGAAAAGGTAAAGGCGAATGCAATGAATAGTACCATGTCACCTCATGGATCAAAGTGGATGGATTCGCCTGGTTTATTCACTACAGGATCATTTCGGTGGCATGATGATGTATTTTCATCTCCGTGGGGATCATCGGTCCGTAGTAGCCAGGATATTGGCTTGAGTGATTTGGATGTAGCACGCTCGTGTCGTCAGCGAGATCTAGTGGCAATTACTCGGAGTACACGCCACGGACGCATGGACGATGGGGTGGGATTCTCGCTCTCGGATGAAGATTATATTACGATTGAAAGGCCTCTTGATTTTGGTACTCGACGTGATGCAGCTCGTGGACTACACCGTTCAAGCTCAGACGAAGTAGGCTCAACGCGACCATTGTCTAGAATTAAGCCAAGGCAACCTAAAGTCGAGGTAAATCGCTGCACCTACGCTAGTGACGGTGGTCGAAATAATGATGAGGCTGAAGCAAAAGCTGAGGCTGAGATGAAGCGACGTGTGAAGGAACTGACATCACCTGCAAAGTCCGAGACTGGGTCAGAGTCGGCAGACCCGACTGCTGCGCTGACAGGACGTATGTTAGCAGCATCGTCGACGTCAATCCGTCTCTTACGCTCTAAAATGGCTGTATTGATCTCACTAAGGCTAGTGTGTGACCTGGGTGCGCTCATGGTGTGTCTGCTTGGTGGAACAGTGGGTTATTTCGCTCCAAAAGGCTCCTTGGCGCTTGCTGGAGACATTCCAGGCGGCTACCCGTCGCCTAAAAGGCCATGGTACGGGTTGAGCACCAATATCATTGAGGCTGATCGCTTATACCATCTCTTCATTGATACGCTATCGATTGCCATCATCTCGTATATGTGCAGCATTGCTATGGCGAAGCGTCTAGCTATCAAAGAAGGATACCGGATCCGACCAAACCAAGAGCTCATTGCCCTAGGTTTCTCTAATCTTATTGGCTCGTTTTTCCAGGGGATGCCCTCTACAGGCGGACTCTCACGCACTGCTGTGAACATGCAGAACGCGCGGACGCAGCTTGCGAGCGTGATTACTGTACTCGTTGTGGTGCTGGTGCTGTACACGGCTACGTCAGCTTTGGCCTATCTGCCGAAAGCAAGCCTAGCCTCGATCATCATCGTCGCAGGCTATTCTCTGATTGAGCTAAAAGAAGCGAAGTGGCTGTATCGTGTGAAGCGGGACGAGTTTTACGTGTGGCTTGCATCGTTTGTGCTTTCATGTTTGTTGGGTGTGCTACCTGGGCTAATCTCCTCCATCTTTTGCTCGCTCATTGCCATGATTTACAAAACTCGTCGGCCGATTGTTTCAATGCTGGGTGAAATGACTGATGAGGAAAGTGGCGAGAAACGGATTGTGGATTTAGATTTGTATCCAGACGCCGCACGCCCATTTCCTGACGTCGTGGCAATTCGGGTGGAAGGCGCTCTCTACTTTGCTAACTGTGAATACATCGAACGTGTGGTGGAACGTGAGGTTTGCAAGCACAATGAAACGGAAGGCATGATTGTCCGTGGTATAATGATTGACGCCGGCTGCATTATGGACTGGGACACCACGACAATTCAGATGATGAAACATTTAAAGTCGAAACTTCGAGAGCAAGGCATTATGCTGGCTATTGTGAACGCTCGTGATCGGCTGCAGCTTCTACTTGAATCCTCAGAGTTTCTTGTGGGCATTGTACACAATGACGCTCGCATTGGATTTACCGAAGCCCTCACTGCCATTCGCGAGGAAGGTATGCCGTCAGATGAATGTCAGGCACTGACGCGATCGTCCAGAGTGTCTAGCGTCTAGTAAAGTGATGAAAAACAATGAAGAATAGATGATTGTTTGGAGTATTGGATTGTGCGAAGCAAGCCGTTCAGCGGAAACAAATTTGGCATGGTTAAGCACATTAATGGCAGCGCGTAGCTTGCTGACATTTGGGAAGTATTTTGACGTTGTACTGCCGCCATCTGTGACGACGACAGCCTCATGTAAGGTTATGTTGCCGAAGGATTCACGCCGTCACTTTGACCACTGCATTGACTCCATTGGTGCATGGCATTCTCAATACCCAAAGCGTTCACTCTCAGCACATCGGGCAAGGCACATCTTTTCCGGGAGGTTCTTAGCCACTTTGATCATCTCGTCGCGCATTCAGCGTATCGAGCGATCAAGCGGTTTTATGCGACGTGAGCACATCCCAAGCAGCACCATGCACCCATTTTCGTGGATGCTCTGATAATCATGGCCAGGACGTCAAGTATGCGTTGTTTGTGACCGGCTTACGGTGGCAATGGCTTACTTCGCGAGACGTGTTGCAGTCTACAGTCACGAATGTCGCAACTCATTACGGTCTAACTACGACTGCATATTCAACCCCAGTGATGTGCGCTAATTTTTGGATCGAGCACGCACTATTTGTGTCAAGCGTTCAGAGGTTTCGTTGCTATTGGACATTCTGGAAGACACTGCAAGTCAGAAAAAAAAGAGCAGCTACTGGCCTTTCTGCGCGGGTGACGTCCTGCTAAATTAACACTGGTGGGCTTGTCAAATGACAGACTTCTGCTTACGATTGGTCATAGACGGATTCGTATCAGCCTGTGGCCTTCTCGTCATGATTGTCCAATGTGCTGGTATCAAGTTCCCGTCTCAGAAGCTTACCACAGACGGTGAAGGAGAACTGGCAGTACGAGCTTGAATGTATTTATAACGGCGGTCGTCTCGGTAGCGTACGTGATTGGTGCCATCATCTTTGACAGAAAACGTTCTTGTCGCCAGAGGTGATGCAGCTCGTTAAAGCTGAAGTCTACAACGAAACAGCTCTTTTGGAATCTCAGCGACACAAAGCAGATCCCAGTACCCATGTGGTGGGTGAACAATAGCACCTATGAGGTCGTTTACAGCCACAGACAACTTCTACAAACATCTGAAGGACGTGTTTCTGCAGACATCTGGAACATGAAGTACTAGGAATACTACCTTTCCTGTACCGTGACGAAAGGTATACAAACGAAAGTTCTACCTCATCAAAATGGGTTGACTATCGAAGCACTTGTCATTGCTTTGCGACTACGTCTAGAGTAGTGTAATAACTCGTGGCAAATCTGAACGAAACCCCCGCAAATCCATTGACTTAAAAGACCATCTCACTTGATCATCTTTCCGTAGTGTACCTTGTAATGCTAATGTACATCTTGTCCTAGTCAAATGGTCTCAAAAGTCTTGTCCACAACTGATGTGTTTTACATGGCCACTAGTCACACCAAACCACTCGTCATGAATGCAGCGAGATATCATGAATGAATACTTTGCAACGTGTGTTTGCATTAGCGATGGTGTCCATGTTGCCTACCTCGTCCTAGGAAGTATATCAACACTATTACGTCGATAGAAGAGTGAACACATAGCGCTTCATCAAAGTATATGAACCTCAAGCCGTTGCGACTAAAAACTAAAAGCACACAACGTGTACTTCGACATTTGAAAGCTTTACTCATTCATTCTCCTTACTAAATCTTACGGCAGCAAATGGCTCGAGTCAAGGAGCTACAGTCCATAGTCAATCGATTCTACTACAGTCCATAGTCAAATGAGGTTATTGCACTGACTATTTCTGATTAGAGGTGAGCAGACGAGCCTGCGACTAGCGAAAGGGAGATGGGTTTGTCCCGCACTTACCGTGATCCTGTGAAACTCGATATACATCATACTATTCTTCCCGTGATCCTGTTAAAGCTTATAACCCAGCCTTATACGACTTTATTCTATGTTCCATAAAGACAATAATAGGCTCTATGCTATCATCCCTGAACTTAATGCTGCTGGTCTCTACGTCGTAGAGATAGAATGAATATAGGCAGACATGAGTGTATTTGTTTCTCTTGGGCATTACGTCAGTAGAAGGAGTTCCAGGAACTGCCGATAAAGCTGATTTTATATAATAACTTGCAGCAGGATGTACACTTGGAGAGCATAACGATGTTTTAGCAACCTTATATCATTTTAAAACGACATTTTGTTGCAATCCTAAGCCGTAGTTCCTACAGTTAGAGAGCATTAATCGGTTTTGACCTCGTCACGTCAATTCTCGTGCGACATGATAATACTGAGGCATGATATATAATAATACGATACTGAGACAGAGTTCGAGCTACTTCAGACACATTCAAGGCACCTTTAAGGAGATGATCAAGTCGATGCCGTTGCTAGTTTTAGTGACATTTTTGAGTCATTTGAGTGAGTTTCGAGCTTCTTTTCAGTGAAATTGGATAAGAAACACGCACCAAGGGACCAAGTTATTCATGTATCGGTGCTTTTACTGCTAACAGGATGAAGAAAATATGTCAAGTTCTTTGAGTTTTGATGCATTTACACGAAATTTGGGTGAAAACGAGGTGCAATTGACATTGGAAAAAAAGTCGTGTCGTGTCTATACTATGAACGTCATCATTCGACACTATGGAAGTTAACAAAGAAGGTTGAGATTCAAGTCATTGGTGGGAGAAGAGTTTTGTGGATTTTAACGCTGTCGTGGCTACCTTCTACTTATTGAGTAGACAGCTGTGCGACGTATTGACGGTCTTGCAGTACATGTTGACAGTGCAATTTTGTCAGCTCATTGAGTCTGCTTTAGGGATGACGGATCTGCTGGAAACGGAATGTGTATTGGAGTTGCTGTTGCTGTGCTTTTGCTATCACTTTTGAACAGAGTGGATGGTACACGAATTGATTGATGAAGCTTGAGTGGTACTTTTGTCACATGCAGAAGTAAACGAGTATGCAGACGCGGTTTTTGGATCAGGTACTCACTTCATAGCTGCATTACCACTGCAAAGAGATCCATTGCTGCGATCACAGATTCTCATACGTGTCAACTCGTCAGGTTTGCCATCGTAAGCTTACATCGAGCAATGGTCTCATATTTGCCTGGATAAAGACCGATGTCGTCGATTCTCAAGTGGAAAAGCTTCTTGTGACGAGTCCGAAATTTGGCGTCTCGTGTGAACAACAGTGTTCAGTATGGCAGCTGTGGTGGAAGTATACGGACGCGTGGAAGGCGTGAAAAGCTGTGCATCCTAGCACGACTAAAGCTACTTTTTTCAGCTGCGTAGCACTGCTTTGCTGTTGAAGCAGTAAGCTTTGTGCATTGCTTTTATTGTAGTTCTGCTGATTGCCTTTCTCGTCGTTATGCTCGTAGCAACGGTGATGCCGGTGCATTGCCGCTTTTGCGGCGATTTGTACAGCTCTGTCGACGCTAGCAGACGCTGATTGATCAGATCCATGACTGAGAAGGTCGCAGACGCGAATCACTGATTTGTTTGGGAAGATTTATTTGTGGTAGTGAGATGGCGTACTCGAAGAATCTTTCCACGCACCTCAGCTGCCGTACTTGCCACAGAGGAAGCGTCAGTAGTACAAGCGTGCTGGACCAGTTACCATGATTGGGCCACCCCTGCTGCTCTTTCTGCAGCGGTTTGGTCAGATCCAAGACGATCAATAGCCTAGATGCTGTATAGAGACCGACGAAAAAGGTCTGAACCCCTATCTGTGGACAGCTCCTATTCGGCTGCTGCAGCGACTGCTAACGAACGACAAGTCCGGTGTACGATCCGGAGAAACAGCAAGGCGATCCTGAGGCCCTTTTGTTTCCGCACACGGTCGTTGATCGGCAAATTTTTCGAAGCTTAAATCGCTAGCTATGACGCTGCTGTAAGGTGGCAAGAGAGTACGTGGAACGTGATGTGGAGACCTGCTGCTTGAGATGACAAGGCTGCATCGATCCGCTTGATTCGTCAATTTATCGTCTGTCTAACACGTATGATTCATGTATGCTTCTGCTTGTGTACTGCGTGTCTCTGTTATGTTTAGCTCTTTCTGGATGGACTCAAACGATGACGATGCAGCAACACCATCTGCCCATCATGCACACATTGTCTTCTGAGTTGGCGGGCTGCTACACTCGTCAGCAGTGTACTGTCTTGCGCGCGTAAGCTTTTTCTGCCCAAGTGGTTGGTTGCTGTTCGGGATCCATTAGCGTCGTCGCTCGATAGTGCTCTGTTTAATGCGTTCTGCAATCCTGTCTTGACTGAGGCAACAGAATGCAATGGCACCTATTCGCGACAGGACCATCGCAGGAACTGCTTCTAGCTCACACATAGAAGGTATGTTTGTTACCTTCTGGAGATACTGCACCATGATTGCAAGGTCCACTATTGCAAGGTCCACGATTGCGAGGTTTGAAGTTGCAAGGCTTTTGACAATGAGTTGTTGCATCAACAGGCGAGAGTGCACGTGGCTTCGAACATATCGCTTACTATTTTTGGGCGCATGCGACATCTTCTGCTGACGCCAGCTCAAGTTGCGCGGTGGATATGCAATGCCCAACTGGATACTGTCAATGGATACGAGAGCAATGTTGGCGTCATAAACAATGAGTTGAATTGTTGTCAATGGCTCGATGGTGCTTAGTGAGGAAGGATTAAAATGTATTTGGATGATCAACACAGTAACTGGTCTCGTAATTATGCGATAAGACGTCTAAGTCGTCGATAAAGTTATAGTGAGGAAGTTGGGGTCATGGCAGCTCCTTCAATTACACGGGAGACGTCCTTCAAATTACCTAGAAGTTTAAGGAATGGCAATGTTATGTCGATATTGGTCTCTACTCGCATCACGAGACTGGTTTCTTCATTCCAAAGAAACAACACTGAGCACGGGTAGTCTAGTTTGTGGCCGAGCAATTTCACTGCCAAAGATAAATCCTCGACATTATCAGACATCATGAGGTGAGGAAAGACGTACTTCAGCGTTGTTTTCGTGATAGTTACACTCAGGATAGCTGTAGCAATAACAATGATATCGGAGACTTTCTCCATATGCGATAGTTGAAACCGCAGATTTTCATGATATTCTGACATTCGACGCCAGTGCTTCATTAGCATCTCCACTCCACACACGTTACCAAAGTCAACATTTGGCGCCATGGTTGATCGCAAAAACATCAACTGCTGCTGAGCTTTGGAAGCACGAAGCACGTCACTTGTATGTACCGATCCTTGTTCAAAAGCATCGCTCCCAACCCCGTGGTGAAAAAGCTGAAAGTACTCGGCGACAACATCTCGAACGCGTTGCCGTGGATCGTACCGAAGACGGCGATGCTGCACCTCCAGCGTCGGGATCTCCTCGCGTAGTTGTGCTACGGTTGACTCGAGCTTTACGACATACTCACGCTGTTTCTGGCGATACCTTGCTTGGTTGGTTCGACATTGCTCACGACATGCTTTCAATCGCATACTCGCCCACCACTTCTTCTGGCGTGTAGGTGACACATCTGAACAACTGATGGACATAGTAGCAACCGCGGTCGAGACGGTTCTTGCAAGCGAATCCGTTGACGCATATGGAACAAAAGTCTGCGGGTACAAGGCATTAACTGAACCATGCATACTGGGATGAAACGCATAATAGCGAGCTGGTGCCATCGAGGAACCGTCACTTTGGAGTTTTGTTTGCAAGAAGCGTTCGATCGATTCGGCCGCACTTGTCGCGGAAACAGGCAACGACGAAAACTTTGTCAACGGATGTAGCGATGCAGTAGAAAGGGGCATGTCCTGAAGTTGTTGCTGCTGTGAAGATCTTACGGAGGTATTGAAGTTCGGTTCCACGACATAGCATCTGGAGGTTCCAGACCGAGTAAGGACGCTTCCAATCACATCGTCGCTAAATGGAGCGGTAATGCGATCAAAGTTCTTTTCACTGGCCATCATCGTTCAATTGTCCGATGGATAGAATGATAATTCAATTGTGGTGATAAGAATGGCCCCGCGAGCGTGAGACTACGTTATTAAAAGCTGGTTCGGACAGCCAGCCTTATGAAGCTGTCCAGCTGGCACCTGGGGTTGCGCTTGTGCTGCTGGGTTAATCGTTTTTGAGCTCGATCACGTCAGCCGTAAACAATCTGGCGATTTGAAGTCGTGCTCGACAAGCACTCGTCGACCACGAGTTTGTGCTTGGTATGCATTGTTTGCTCAAATCGCATGAGCCAGGCAAGCAGACTCTTGCAAAGTCACGTTCGTTAGGAATCCAACCAAAGTGTTGATCGGAACACATGAGCAGCTGAAAATTCACCGCCCGTCTTTTTACCGAGGTAGCCAATCTCCCAGCATAGGATTGCCCGTAATCTTGTAAAATTGAGATGATCGCAGCACTATGAAGCTCTCAAATCTCCCGAGCATTCTACTTTTTCTTTGCCTGTGCTAAGGTACCAGCATCTACGGCAAGAGACGTGTGACTTGGACTGCATCTCGAGTCGAACGCACGAAATGATTAGCGATCGAACGAAGAGGAAGGAAGATAAGCAAGGCAGTTTAAGGCGATGTACAAGTGTTGAAAGTTGTAACTCGGTGCTTGTCGATATCAAGGTTGAATTCACAGACTTTTTGAAAGAGGTTCTATAATGTTAACACTTACCATCTTTGATCACTGACATTCCTGCGAAGGTGATGTGATAAACAAACGGGGCTCACACATAAGGAAGGTGACATTGTATATGCTCCATTGCACATCACACGATGTTTGACTCTACGATAGTACAGTAGATTTTTCCTTTTGCTCCGGGTTGTGATGCATTAACAGTATCATAGACGCATATGTTTAACCCACAAATGCTACGCACTCGTTACCGTCTGCTACTATGCACCACCTGCTAGGAACTTTAATCCTCACCTACCTTTGCAGAGCGTCCAATAACTACATGATCAATTATCTCGCCAAAATAATCGGACAACAACAACTTATGTCGATCTTTCGTGTTGTTATATGTCTCGACAAGATCAGAAATCTTTTACATAGGTGCTAAGGACCGACTGTCTTAGCGTTATGTCTTGAAAAACTTTGGTAATAGGAAAATCCTCAAAATGTCTTATTAAGGATAGTCATTTCCAGAAAACAGTGCATCCACCATTTGTAACGCAACCTCATTTCATTACGACACTGGCAGTTTGTCCGATGGTTTGCAATCGACACTTATGCCAATTCCACACACTCCTACGACTTAAATCGGCTACGGTACCTAGAAAAGCCTTCAACAAGTTCAACGTAGCCCGAGTACATCAATTGAAGAAGGCTGGAGTGGTCAATGGAAGCAAGCTGCTTTACTTTGAATCTGGATGGGCTCATCAAAGTAATAGACGTTCAAGATGCTAATCCTTTGGTAAGATTCTTTATAGACCTTTTTCATGTTGCAGGGGATAGCCCGACTGCGACATTTATTGTTGCTTGTAGCCTCGTATAGCCGATGTTTCCACGACATGAGAAATTGCATCGGTCTGATCCTGCTTACGGTCACCGATAGCGTCAGATGGACAAAGACTACAAACTAAGCGATCATAAAATTGGCACATCACTTAGCTGTGGTTATTCCAGTTGTTTGTCAATCACGATTGAGTGTACATCAGTAGTTGGACACCGGCTGTTGTATATATGGCGATTGCTCACCACAATGTACCTCTCTATCGTCACCATCTTCATATTTCTGGACTACACTGTCATTCAAGCCATGCATTCACGAGTCTTGTCTTGAGTTAGTGTCTGTTGTCCATCTTGAAATGAACTACATTAAGGTCTACGACCCTGTCGATATTTACGCTTACCTCAAACCTTGATTCCATGAAGTACACTTGTCAACTCTTATCACATACGGATGACACGCACAACATGGGACAGTGAATGACAGCGGCTCCAGTTTGAGCTTCCAAGTGTATACTCGTTTGGACTGGTAAACGAAACATGTGAGGGACCATGTACGGAAGCAAGACACCAAAAGCAAGACCATAGTCGTAATTTTGGTTTGTCACCCCAATATATGATTCAACGATTCTGCACGGGCCAATTTGATGACACTTGGAGCCGTCGAGTTCTTTTTATGATCGACGTCTTACAACTTTACACGAGGATGCGAGTGTATAGTGAAAATTTCTGTCGACCGTTTGGGAATTTACGCCTGGGAAATGCTTGCAGACAAAAGCCGCCACCGCATCTCAAGACATCTGTCGAGAGGTCTCGTTAAGAGCCACTTGACCATTCTGAGATTTCGACAAGCTTACAGCCTCTTACTTTGGAACATGTTTTCGTTTGGTTTGACAGCATACCACTAATAATAGTAACCAAACACCGGATGCGATTCAGAAGCAAAGAAAGCGCTATTAACCGTCGCAAATTTAATTTCGACAGTGTTGCTACAGAAAGTTGATGTGGATCATGTGTGTCGTCACGACGCAGAATGTACAAAGGTTGGTACAACTATATGTCGAACGATACATGAGATCGCTACTGAGAAGCTTCGTTCGTAAATTTTGGCTCCAGAATGGACCACACTACAGCTGTGCTAGTGACGACCTCCAAGGCTTTTATATTCATGACAAGTTAAGACGACTTATTTACGGATGGATCCAAGGCTAATCGTCACTTCACCACACACAGTATCACACGTTTTCCTTTTTTGGGATTGTTGTTGTCGTATAGAGCTTGGTTCATTTTTTGTTCGAGGGTTCATTTTCCTGCTCAAAGCAAACTCCTTTCGCGAGAGTTGGCCTGTTAAATCAACATCACAATCTAGCACCAAAAAGTGCCGAATGTGCATTCTCGTTGTGATTGCTTTGGTGAAGTGGATAACGAGTTGCAATCTATGAGTTAGTCAAATCTCATTGACGCAATGGTATTCTGTGCTTTGCCAAGAGCACTTGAGATTCAGGGTACGATATTAAGTCATTATGCTACGGATATTTGAGACTATGTTGATTACTGCATGCAGTCTCTACATTACATGGACTGATTCCAGTGTATGAATATGCAGAGATGATGATGTCAATGATGTGGATTCTGGAGTAGTGGCATGAAAGGAACATACATTGTATTGACAAGATGAACTGTCGCTGACTTCAGTTGTGCGCCCAATTTGCTGCATGTATGACCACTACATTTGATTGAAATATAAAAAAATGTACCAAGAACTGCTTCATGAAATCAAACCTGCTTTCTCAATAGCTGTCTTCTCTTCCTTCATTCAATACGAGTGGGTTCGAGCTCATTTCAGCGTCTTTCTGCGTCCCATTGCTGGTCACTCCGTACTAGTTCTATCACGTTCTTATAGGTTGCCAAATTAAACATGCTCAAGCAGTCCAAATACCATATTGCAGTCACACTCAACGAGGAACGCTTTGTCCGTGATCACGAAAAGGTAACTAACTGCAGGCCACATGTTACAAATTTCAGCGAAAATGATGGCATTGACTTACTTACCACTCGATTATTTGTAGGACCCATGGTGTTAATTGGATCGAATGTCGAGTAAAACGTGTCTTCGCGGAGTGTTTCTAGTTGCTACACGATCAGAGTCTTACATCGCGTTGCAAGGAAAGCGTGTTTGCATCCTGTGCGGCCTACTGTCCATTGGTGGCCGTGATTCTTGGTCACGAGGCCATAACTGTTGGCAAAACTTTTGTACCAACTCGACCGCCTACTAGCGTAAATTGGAATCTGTGTGCAGGAATGACATGATGCAGTTGCCTGCCTCCTGAAAAAGCAATTTATTGCCGTCATGATCACTTGGGGCGTGAAATACGCAGTTTCGGACCGCGCTATGTCTCTAGAAATTCGCAATAGCGCGGCGGCACTTGTCAAGCACATGAACTTGGTCATGCGCGTACCTTACTATGAGCGCTGCTTGCCACATTTTCAAATGACTCTTGTGCTCAGCAGTGACATGTGCGTTATCTTCTTGACGATCTAGTGTGCGTTGTGGCAAAGTTAACACGGCGATCGTACTCTATAGCATGCGACAGATCCTTGAGCGCGACGATGTTCGTAGCTTAGTAATAGCCAACGCTGTACCCGACATCTTCTGACGAGTGACCATGCTTGCAAATCTCGAGGACGAGTCGCTGACCAAGAGCTCGAAAGTGAAAGGAGCTCAAATACGCCGCCATATTTTCGAACCAAAAACTGCAGACCCATCTGCTTTGTTATGTACTAAAGCAGTCACCAGCATTCGATTTGCGTAACAAAATCTGCAGTATGTCCATGTTACGACAGTTTATTGAATTTGCAGCTTACATATCAACTTGTCGCACTCTTGAGATTTGGAATCGAGATTCACAGTCGAATGAAGCGTAACGTCTGGTCGCACTCTCGCCTATCAAACAAATGATTGTTTAGTAGCGGCAAATCGCTGTCTTGCATTATCATAATGTCCTCGCGACTTTTAGCACATGCTCAAAGCAGAAAGTCAAGGTGTTTGACTGCACTGGACTCAAGATATCAAGATGCGATTGTTTCCCGAAAGCATCTTAACACAAGAAGTGCTCATATTGCACTCGTCCTGCAGCACATCTCATTGTTGTTAAAAGCCGACATGTGTGTTATGACATCTCCATGAGACGTGTAACTTACGTTCATCTGCTTATTAGAAGGCATGATTATAAATAGATACGAAAACCCTTTGACGAAACATTTGTTGAGCTTCCTCAACCGCAAACTTACGGATTGTCAGTGATGATAAGCATTTATTTGTCAAAGAATGTCTTTAACAAAGACATGCAGGTAAAATACAACAGACAATTACGTAACTTTAACGTATACCCGACGTTTGTATGACTCCCAAAATATCTGTGTGATAAACTAATGCTACAAACAAAGCGAGCATGTTGTAAATCCTGTTGGTTGTGTAGCTTCCGATATCGACGTTTCCGGATATCAATCTCCATTATCGGAATCTATGTTTGTATCTCAAAAATGGTTGTCTTGCAGTAAACTCTAACTTTTCCATATCGTCCAATACTGATTCAGAACGAATTGTTTTGGTGTATGGAAATGGACTTGACGTGCTTTTTGAAGTGGCAACGGTAGAACATACGTGTTGCTCCAGCTCAAGCATATGCAACGGATGCAATGATTGATCGGTAGGGCTAAACTACAGACATCTCCGACCAGCACTCCACATGGCAAAGTAACTAACTTTGTATCAGACTAATGCAAACGGACATTTCGTGCTGTTGGCGAGCGAGTTTTGGATAACACGATACATCAACCGTCTTCAAATGCTAGTGAAGAAGCCACTGACAAGAATTATTGCTTGTAGATCAAGTCTCATGTAGTGCAATGACGTTCGTCAAAGTGTATCGAGTTTTTCTCCCAGTTGCATCATAATGGGAACACCAGCTAAAATCTAAAAATGATGTATAGGAAAAAAAAGCTCGTTTGTTTCTTGTTCAAAGTGAAAGACAAGACCAAAGATGTACACTAAAACACTATAAAGCAACTGTCGTAAGAAGGTTCTTTCTTAGTTGCTCCAGGTGTAGTGCCACGAGATGGACCAGCTTACATTGTCTTGAGCTTGGAACGTTATAACCTTGGGGCAGCCGAAGCAAACTGTACATTCTTTTCATCTTTTGCATTTCTAAGCTTAAATGATAGATACATACGTCTGACCATGACTTTGCAGCAATTATTCATGTCTACATCAGTGTTTCAACGTCATGTAACTTTTATCTGCTTTTGGTAATAATGGGTTTAATCCATTATTACTGAAATCGATGGTGACTTTTTTTTCTTGGAAAAAAAACCCTGGTGTGGTAATTTATTCGTCGTTAAATGAAATATATCGGATCCATACAAATTATAGCTTAATTTCCGCAAAACCCAGTCCCCAACCACTGCCGTCCCAATGGCTCGCAGTTCGTCAGTTTCTCGCTCTCGTTCAAGACATCCACGTAGCCGTCGACGACGTGCACGTAGTGTCTCATCAACCTCTTCATCGACTTCTTCTTCCTCTTCTTCTTCTTCCTCTTTTTCTTCCTCCTCTCGCTCCATATCACCGCCTCGGAAAAAGTCTCGTCGTAGTCGCACGAAACACGATGACGCTACTCCCCCTCGCCGCGACGTCACCACGCTTCCTCATTGTGAGACAAACGATGACACGCCTTCATCATCACAAGTGATGACACAAGAAAAGGACATGAAATCGGTTCGTAAACGGACACTACTGATGGATACACGTTTGAATAGTGGACGAACGGGAGGCATTTATATTCCACCATTCAAGTTGGCACAATTACAACAACAAGAAGAGAAAAATGACCGTAGCATATCGTCTGAAGAGACGCAACGACGAACATGGGATGCATTACGTAAAAGTCTCAATGGTCTCATTAATAAAGTCAATGTGGCCAATCTAAGTAATATTCTACCCGAGCTTTTCCAGGAAAATCTAGTGCGAGCACGTGGTTTGTTGACAAGAGCTATTATGAAAGCACAATTGGCATCACCGGGTTTTACGCACATTTATGCAGCACTTGTGGCAGTACTTAACACAAAAATGCCCGAGAATGGGGAGCTGCTGGTCAAGCGTGTCGTTTTCCGCTTCCGCCGAGCTTTTAAGAGAGGAGACAAAGTTGTTGCGATTGCACTTGTTCGCTTTATTGCACACCTTGTAAACCAGCAGGTTGTCCACGAGTTGTTGGCGCTCGAAGTGCTCACCTTGTTGCTGGCAAATCCAACTGACGACTCTGTTGAAGTGGCTGTGAACTTTACGAAAGAATGTGGACAGATCTTGGCCGAGTTGTGTCCTGAAGGACTGCGTGCTATCTTTGAACGCTTTCGAGGCATTCTTCATGAAGGAGAAATTGATAAGCGCGTGCAGTATACAATTGAGGGACTATTTGCCATTCGCAAGGGCGAATTTGCAGACTACCCAGCCGTGCATGAACAGCTGGATCTGGTCGAGTCTGGAGACCAAATTACGCACGAGACAACACTTGAAGAGCAGATTGATTGCGAAGATAAGCTGGACGTCTTCCGGTTCGACCCAGACTACGAGAAGAACGAACAGCTGTGGGCTGCGATTAAGAAGGAGATTTTAGGCGAATCTGACTCGGACTCTTCCAGTGGAAGTGACGACGATGGAGAGGAGGATAATGATGTACAGCAACCTGTGTCCGCCGACAATAACATGGCCATCCAGGACTACACAGAGCAGGACCTTGTGAATTTACGTCGCACAATCTACCTGACTATCATGTCTAGTATCACGCACGAAGAATGCGCTCACAAGTTAATGAAGCTCAATATTCGCCCAGGACAGGAGAAGGAAATTTGTTCGATGCTTATCGAGTGTTGCAGTCAGGAGCGAACGTACTTGCGATACTATGGATTGCTTAGTGAGCGGTTCTGTCTGATCAAGCGCGAATACCAGGATGCTTTTGACGAGTGCTTTGCCGAACAGTACTCTCTGATACACCGTCTCGAGACCAACAAACTTCGCAACGTGGCGAAGCTTTTCGCTCACTTACTGTTTACAGACGCTCTGCCGTGGACTGTATTCGAATATATCAATTTGAACGAGGAAGAGACCACGTCGTCCAGCCGTATTTTCATCAAGATATTGTGCCAGGAGCTTTCGGAGCATCTCGGCATGAAGGTGCTGAAAGAGCGTTTTCATGATAAGATTATGCAGCCTACGTTTGCTGGTCTTTTCCCGACGGACAACCCGCGGAACACTCGTTTTGCTATCAATTTCTTCACATCTATTGGCCTTGGTGGTCTGACTACGGAGTTGCGCGAGTACCTAAAGAATGCACCGAAGATAATTATGGAGCAGGCGAAGGCTGCGGCTGATAGCAGCGATTCTGCTTCAGACTCAGGGTCGAGTGATAGCAGCAGCAGTAGCAGTAGCTCTTCCAGTTCCAGCTCAGACTCGGACTCAGATTCTAGTAGCAGCAGCGGCAGCAGTGACTCATCCGATTCTGACTAAATCATAGCCCGACCAGGTATAGATGAGCTGTGTATTCAAAGCTAATGGAAAACATGCTGCTGAAACGCGTTTTTTCGCTCCATTATCGTCTGTATCGGCTGGCTGTGCACAATCGTGAAATGCTGTGAAGCTTAGCCTTGCGGCTCATCGTATAACCCCTTTTTGCGATTGAAAACTACGACGCCAGATATTCATCTGAAACCTCGCTTATCATGGTCGTTTTGCTACTTATTCACCACAGTCTTGCTTCCATTGCAATGTGGTTGCATGCAGCGTGACGTTGCAAGTACTCGAGAATACATAAGCTTTTGCTGTCAAAAACCTCTGTCAAAGCCAATGCTTATGTCAGCGTAGTAGCTTTCAAAAACATTGCAAGAAGCTGACCGTCGATTCGCATCACATGGAATGGTTTGACAGCTTTGTTTGCATGTATAGAAGAGAGCAAAGATACAACCGTTAGCTCTTCAGCTGCATTAAAGCAAGCGTCACTTGGCTTAGTTCCTCGTTTTGCAAGATGACGCATGTTGTTTTTGTAGTCACACAAGAACGTGTAGTTTCGTTAGAGAGCAACAAATCTTTGCCAGGACCTTTGTCACATACTTGTGTAGAATGCTTGCTTGCATTGACACTTGGTAGTCAAACCATTCAAGTTACTCGTAATGGTTTCTCATTGCAATCGTTGGAGCTCTAGCTATCAAACTTGGTGGCATTTCTTATCAATTGTAGCTACTAGTACAAGTAACGCATTTCATGCATGATAGATGCTTCTTGCAGATACAATAGGACTGTTAATGAACAATCAATATGAGCTGCATGGTTGTTTCTACAGCTTATAAGACAGAGTGCTTGCATCTGCCCATTGTTCAAGAGCGTCCTATGGTCTTTTTTTAGCTCAGTTTGGGTTTTATTCCATGCCAAAGTCGTTTTCTGTTGTCGTGGTTGGGTTATTTTCTAGAAATGGGTTAAACGAGATGAATAACTGGTTCTCCGAGCTCCTTCAGTCTTAATTTACTCAGAGTGAAGAACCCTCTCATAGACATTATGGCGAAGGCAGTGTGTACTCTTTATGGCAGTGATGCAAAGATATATGGATCGCTTGTAATTACACAGGCACATGAGGATGCCAAGAGTGTCATCACGGGTGAGCTAAAGGGACTTCCAGCTGGTAAACACGCGCTACACGTGAACGTGTTTGGCGACGTGTCACACCCGGGTGGTGTATTTAACCCATTTGGAAAAAACCATGGAGCACCCGAGGACGAAGAGCGTCGTGTGGGATCATTAGGAAATGTGGATGTGGCAGAAGATGGAAGCGTTAAGGTTCACATTGAGGATAAACTTGTAAAACTCATTGGACCACACTCAATCATTGGCCGTAGCCTTGTGATCCATGAAGGTGAAGATGATTTGGGCAAAGGTGGTCATGATCTTTCGTTGCAGAATGGAAATTCTGGTCTTATTAAGGCTTTTGGAGTTGTTGGTATCTCTAGTTAGATAAGAACTACAAGGAATGTGACGCAGTAAAACAAGTTGTGAGGTGCTGAGGTAGAAAAGTAGCTAACACTTGGGTATTGCTAGTGTTTTCTGGAAATTAATTTGTGTTTGCTAAGTGGCGATGAAAAAAAACATTCAAGCAACGTACTGCTCCATCCTTAAGCAGTGACATTGCTATTCTGTCTGCTACGCTTTCCTTCCTGCTCTTTCCTGGACCTTTTCTCGGGCACGGAAGACGGCGGCGCGCTTTCCGACGTGTTGAACCGATTATCGTCCTTGTGGTGCTTGCTCTTCTTCTTGTGCTTGCTCTTTCGTGCATCAGTAATGAGCTCGAGCTTACGCAATTCGTACGCCTTCTGGTTGGCCTCAAGTTTAGTCCGCGCCAGTTCCTCCTCCATTTCCAAAAAGCGTCGACCACGCTCACTCTCTTGATAGTTGTGCACGTCCGTCAGCCGTTGCTCAAGTTGTTGTTTATCCTGCGTGAGCTTCGTCATCTCCGTCTGTAAGCGAGTTACCTCCATCGCAGCCTTTTGCAGCAACTCCTTGCTTTCTTCTTTCAGTTTGGTTACCTCTTCGACAGGTACAAAGTCTTTAAGCTCCATCACAACAGGCGATGATAAGTCTTGTCGAGTTGCTTCCTCCAGTAGTTGACAACGAGCTTGGATCAATGCCTGCTCCATCCGTGGCACTTGACCCAGCAGTAGAGCTTGGAATCGTTCCGTGTACGATAATTTAGTGGCAGCCAAGAGCTCATCATGCACTTGATCGTCCTCATTCTTCTTGTCTGTTTCAGCAGTTAGTGCTAACGTCTGAATCGGCTTGTCATGGTCTGATTGCTGCTTTGATAGCATCAAAATACTCACAACTGCGTCAATCACGCGCTTGCCCATGGCATCATCAACCTGTTGTACAAATGGATGACCAAGTCGCATATACTGATGGTAGAAAAGCCGTACAAATGTCACAAGCCCTGAACGTGACATCAACTTCTCCGTCATGTCTGCTAGAAAGCACGTGACGCGTGATGCCTGTTTAATGCTCCGATACGAATGAATAAGCTGTTGATTCGTGTATGCAACAAAGGTTTGCAAGAGATGTAGCTCTAGATCAGAATGACCAGCAGTAAGTTGTAGATCCTCGTTATTTTTTTTGATCACAAGAGCCGTGGAATTGCTTGGAGACGATGGTAAAGATGATAACGACACTTCATCCGACGGTAACGCCATCATTCTACGAAGTTTTCAAGAATTAATAATACAATATTCAAGTCAAAATGAAGAATGACGTGAGAGAAGAAGAAAAAGGTGATACCAAAATGTTTCAAGAGAGTAGGGCGAACCTCAGTTGTTTTTGTTTCTTGACCTGAACGCGTGCGTCGATGTTGTCATCGTATGATCACGTAATTTACGTGGCAAACAGATGGCTACAAATGGAATTATAATGCAACGCCTCGTCACATGCGAATCTTCAACTACCATAACGAAACCATAGGGCACACAGTCTCAGATCAATCGTTGTTTTTTTTTGCTTGTCTACCGAGGTAGTCGTTGTGAATCTTATTGTTCCAGTCGAATGACCCACTGACGACATACCACTTGTAGCAAGAACCCAAGTCTTTTTAGCTCGCAGTTATCCTGACAGCTGCAGTTTCTTTCTAGCGATGAGCCATGTGCACCCATAGCAAACTCTTTCTTTACATATAGTGCTCCCTACTTTCAACTCGTACGTATAGCACTGGTATTTGTCTTGCCGTTGAAAGGACGGGTTGTTTCACTGATTGTTGGACCTGTATAATCGTTGGCTGAAAGCGCTTAAGACGATAACCATCGCTTCAAGCGATTACATACAACAGCTACGGAGGTTATTTTTGATGTGCTTGTAAGCCAATTGTCCACCTATTGAACGCCCCGCCCCCCCACGCACGACATCTATTGATTGCATGAGTTTTCAAGGTCTGCAAGGACTTTACGACGAACCGATCTGTGTGCGGAATCTATCCCGATCGACAGGAGGGGATGCCGAGTTGGAAACGGTGCTTGCGACTGCACACTATATACATGGACAACAAATGAGACGTGAAACGTCCTTATAAACTGCTACAAACAACCCTGCAAGATGTTTTCCAGTCAGTATCGTAAGTAGCGATAGGAACTTCTGCGCTATAAGCTCAGGTCATATCCGGCAACTGCCCTGGATGCTGCAAAATATCGGCACACGCCTACCATAAGGCATGCACGGCTGTGTTTCCTGGCCATCACATAATCACAAACCCTGCCGGTTTGACTTTCATATGGAGAACAAACCAACACTTTATCAGCGAGCAAAAGCTTTCAATGAATACATCAAGTTCATACGATAAACTGACGCGCGTGTTTTGAGTTAACATTACTGCACCACCCAAAGCAAAAGCTACGCAATGGCACCGCCTTGCGACTGTTGCCATCATGGTAGAAGCAGCTTACGATGACATGCAAACTGGACATTTGCAGCCTGTACAAGGACAACCATTTGTAGGACAACCACATGCAGGACAATTGCCTGCAGCTGCGCGCTGTCTAGCTTCGTTACCTCCACAGCAGGGCGTAGGATTTGAAGCCATTTGGTGTGGACCGCAAATTGGGCAACCGCACTTGGTGCAAGGACAGCCATCTGCAGGGCACTCACACGCTGGACATCCTCCAGTTGCAGCACGCTCAGCAGCACGAATGCATCCACCACCACAAACAATCGTCGACGAAGTAGCCGATTTGATCGCTGGCTCAATCGGGTCGACATTGCGAGACTTGCTGCTGCATACTTGACATTCACATTCCTTGCACGAACACTTATTTGCCAAAGAGCCGCAACTTTTACACAAATTGTGGCTTTGGTGCTTTTCAGACGTGTTTTCCTTACCACTGCTCCCAGTCTGTCTCCCTTTAGCTTCCCCGCGGTGTGAAGAAGTCTCAGTCATTTCTTCTTTGTTATCGAATATGGTCGTTTGGCCATGGTGATCTCCAGTGGATTCGCTTTCTACCTGCTGTACTTTCAGATTGTGCTTAACACTTGTCGTGGTTCCCACCACCATTGTTGTAAAATGAACTGTAGCTACCATGGATGGCATTCTTTGTTGGCCCGTGTCGCTCACGTCACTCCCATATGCGACGCAAACATTGTTTATTGAACACCAGTTACAAATGATGGTTCGCTTTAGACTTCTTCAAGTACTTCTGCTTCAACTACTTTTTTCTCCAAGTTCAGTGTTACGACAATTACAAGACAAACTGCAAAAGCTTTTTGACTTTCAAGTTTTTGTTACTGCAAGTTACAAAACCTACTACAAACTCGACGTTCTTTTGTCTCCTGTCGCTTCGTTTGTCCTACATCCGCGACATGTCGACAACGCTACGCTTCTTAATCTCTCAGTGTTCCTCTTCTTCTTCAATTCATTAGTTATAAACTGTCTCGCCTGAATCTGCCGTCTTTCCCGTCGACCGCCAGCATCTTAATGCAGTAAACCACACTTGCAGGTACCTCCAGGGCTGCCACAGCTGCCACATTTGGCAGAGCTTCCATGTTCGCGGGCACCCCCAGGCAAACTTTCTTCGTGCTCGGCGCGCTCGATTGACGGCACAGCCTCTAGCTTACTAGCAATATCGCTTGGCGAAGTCTTCCCAGCTTCCAACTTCTTCCCACCACAAGCAGCACAGTTACAGCCACGACACGAACACTTGTCTGGAGGGCAGCCGCAACCACAGCACGCCGCGCGTTTAACGCAGCATGTGCGGCACTTGCAGTCCTTGCACATGCAGTTGTTCGTTGTCGACTCACAAGATGCACACGACTCCTGTTTGCTGGACTTTAGCTCGTGCTTGCTGGCCTTCTGCTTCTCAGCCTTGTGCTCACCACCCTTGCCACTCCTACGGCCCACACAGCGAGTGCAGCAGCACTGCTCTATCTCTTTTACAGAGCTACAACGCTTTAGATGTGCCATCTGCAAAGCCGACTGTGCCCACGAAACACCGTGGTTGCACTTCTGACTCTCGTCAATACCACAGCACGAACGCTTTTCCGCGCAGGATTCGGCCTGCGACTCATTGTCGCAGCAGAGCACGCCAAAAATGACGGGCGTGGCCGACGTTACATTCAGCTTCATGATCCCGTGGGCCACAGCTTGACTCATCGTCTCGCACATGTACATGGAATTTTTAACTATACAGCCAATGCATATCACGGCGTCCGGGCGGTGGCGCTTATCCTTGCAGTCGATAAGGCGAGCAGCCGCGAAAGGTAACTCAAATGCACCTGCAACCTCAATGAGGTGCAGACTGTCTTCCGGCACGCCCTTTGCCAACAGCTCCTCCGAGCACGCATCCACAAGCGAGCGAACCACATTTTCGTACCAGTGGCTTGCAACGATAGCAATTCGTAATCCTTTCCCGTCAAGTTTACTCGTCTGGGAGGCACCAGCTTGCTCAATGAGGACGGGGTTGTGTGACGCCATTTTTGCCTTGTCTTCGTGGTGCCCGTGGTCACCGCTTTCTCTGTGGTGCTCAGCTCCTTCCGAGTGCTTCGTTTTCTCCGTCAATTTCACAAAACCAAGAGCCATCTTTTTCACGAATGAGCTTAGCAAGTTGGAACAAACGCCTTGGTCTTGCTTTAAAGTGACAGACTTCAAGGTGGAGTACTCGTCGCTTATTGAGAAAGGGGCGACAGCAAAATAACAAACGCTTTGCATATAAACGGTCGAATCCAGCGTATCTCACCGTTACTCCCTAAAAACGGTCGAGCAGCAAAGAATTAATCTTGTATTTCCGTGCTGTGTCATAATGGAAATGTTGTCAGCTTCTCACTTGTAACACCACTACCAATAAAGCATCCTTCACACTTGAGCCAATTCTTAATACTGCATTTTGAAGTCCACTTACTTAGAAGCAATGACTACCGGTTTACCCAATACGATCGTCGCGACACGCTTCACTTTACCACCGGGCGACCTTACTGTCTATTCCTTTTATCGTTGTGGCTGTACATGTCCCAGTGCTGAGACGATGACTGAAAAGACCGACGAAATCCACTCCAACTCGACACGATGCAGTTTGGATTACAATCTCCTCGTCGCTTCATATTATCATTAGACAACATACAAAACTATCTTTCCTACAATTGTCGAAACCACAACTGCTTCGTTATTCTGTTGCAAGAAACTTGACACCGTCTTCTTCGCATGTATCTCCAGCAATTACTGCCGCCTGCCATCAATCACGAAAAACATTGCCGTGTGATTCGAAAGTATTGCGTCTCTTGTCGTTTACAAAAGTAAAACTACGTACTTTTCCCTCTCTTTCCAGTACGTTCAGTGCCTCACGGAGTAACCAGGGTTCCATCCCGTGAATGCCTACACATACTCGCACACTCTACATCAGTCCCGCCGTTTCTCATCCTATACTTTTTTCCTCACTTACTTGTGCCCAGCGTTTCCTCTCCTGCGTATAATTCATAGACTGTAAACACGTTGCCAATCATGCCGTGTTCTTTGGCCTGGAATGATCACCGCAAATAATAAACCCTTGCAATCAATCATCATGCAATCTTTTCGATACAAGCGTTTTGAATTCGTTCTTGTCTTACAAAGTCGTAGATATCAGCAGCCCATTCGATTGGTTTCTTCCACATTAGACGACACCGTGTCTTCGTGTCATCTTCCCATCTTCCATGGCCGCAACGGATTAAGTGCTCCACTACCGCCATTCGCCCTTCCTGCGCCATATTGCGGGAGATTTTAGCATTTTCAAAAAGCGTTGAGGCCAATGGCTGGAAGATGGGCACGTCATGTGCCCGATGATACTCAAGTACAAGTTGCTGCCACAATACAAGCTGCTTTTCTCGCGTAGTACGCACAGGCTGTAGCGTAAAGAAGGGTGGAAAATCATAGTATTCCGGGTACGAAAACTTGTCCATTCTTGCGTCAAAATCTGGAATTGTATACAAATTTCAAGTGAAAATGCTGTTGGTTTGAAAGATGAATACAATACATATAGACCAAATTGCTATCATCAGTGTATGCTTGATGCAAGGAGAGACTAGAGAGAAATGATCGGTATAATAGCAAAGTGATGATATCAGATATTGCTACGTTTTCCTGTCAATTACTGTATCTTGTGTCGGTCTCCATTGTCTCGTTAACAAGCAAATGTGAGGTTGCATGTAACACAACGTCATTCTGAAATGGTCATGTTTTGAGCAAAGAGATAGCTGCAATAACGTCATCAAAGACGCTCGCCGAGTGCTTTCACTGGAGATGTTGGTCGATAAAGCAGGTTGTGTACCTTTTCCATTGCTCAGAAACCAAGGCATTAACACCTTGTTGTTTGTCAAGAGAAATAGCTGTATCGAAAAAACTTGGTTTTGTACGGCACTATTCCTTTCGGTGGTGGTGTTTGATGGAAATACGCTTAGGTTTGAAGCTGCATTGCATGAGCATTTAATGACTGAAGATACAGTTCTAGCTACCAGCAAGGTAGGTAAAGAAGCAAAAGGTCTACATCCTGGATCGGTCGATTAGGATTGCTTTTGATTCGTGGCTGAGCTCGTGCAGTGTTTTGGTTTAAGCTTCTAGGCGCGCAAACAATCGCATTCTCCGTCCTCCGAGACGGCAAGAGGCCCCCATTAAATACTATGAACATCTTTTGGGATGGAAGGATGTGAATAATGGCACTTACGAGGCAATAAATGAACTGTGTGCTGTTAAGGATGGCGACCGAGTTCTTCTGAGTGGCTGAATCGTTAAGTACCACATTGCTTTCATCCCGCTGCTGCTTTGTTTAGACGCTCGATGTACCGCGTGGCAATAAAATTGAAAGCAAAAACACAGCGCAAAAGCTTGACATGGCTTATATCTTCAGCTTGAAACATGTCTAATTCTGTTGATCTGGCAATACAAAAAGTATCTCTTTCTATCGTCTTCAAAAGTGTACCAAGCATAAAGCAGCACTCTTACCATTGTCAACTAAGCATTGCACTTCGTCAAGTTCTGGTACAGCACAAGAACGTTGAGAATGATCAAAGAAGTAAAACTCGTTGTTGCAAAACGTTGTAATTTGCACTACTCGTTCTTTTGTGTTTGACAACATGTTTGTGATTACGGAGAAATGATGTACTCTTGTCAACAGACCTTCCGCTAAATCCAGTGTTGCAGCCAAGAATACCCATATAAACGATCGCTGGCAGGATGCAACAGCACGCCAACAGTTCTGTTAGCGCTTCGTAGGTAGTTAGACAATTTGATCCTATATTAGCATGTTATAGGCTCCTAGCTACCTTGCGTCCTACGCCTTTGCTCCAACCATTCCACAATGGTTCGCTGTTAGCCCACTTCACTAACTACTTACGCAGACAACGCGTGACAAATGTAACGACCGGCGCCAATCGCATACTCACGTGTCCTTCCGCGACACCACAATCAGCCCCAATCTTCCGTGTTCACCTTTCAGCACCATGTTCCACGCTCACCTTCCAACAAGTTCTATATCAGCATAGACTTGTACTTAACTTTGAAAAAGGTGAGTCCAAGACTTAACAGATCAAAAAAAGCTGAAAAGGCCAATATAGCGAAGTAGAGCTCGATTTTTGCTATTCAGCTAATAATACAATTGGCACAGATGGCATCCCGTAGCCGCCGTGCCGTATTGTCACTAACGACACGCTTCTGCTTTCCTCATCAAGGTATGAAGACACTTGCATACTTCAGCAGGTAAATCAGCAAACCTTTCTGTGTCTCGTGTATTCAATACACGTCTCAAATTGCTCCCTTACCATATGAACATTTACTGAAATAATATGTCTTCAGCGGCTCGGCTGTTTTGTTGCGCAACGCTTACAGTAAAAATCAAGGCATAGATCTGGCCGTTGTGACGTGCCAGCATGTAGCTTGTCTCTCTGGCTATTCCCTCACTACTTTGCAGCTACGTGGGACTAGCTGCAATTCGTGAGTGAGGACCACGTGCGTCATTCTCTGCAGCTGCTTGCTGTCAATGGGGAGAAGTCGACTGCCGATAAGCGAGAGGTTCTGCTGAAACTGCCGTTAGCTTCTCCAGTGAAGACGCATGAGAGTCGAGATTTGGCCCTGCTGACCTGGCAGATTCTATTGCTGTCGAGAATTGGCAAATTGCCCGAGACAAGTTAGGGGACTTGAATACGCTGGTGCTGCAATCGGCGCCATGTAGACAGGGAGACGAAGTGATTTCTTAGGCCACAGACGAGTGAAAAGTGATCAAACGGATGGCTACAAAATTTCTAAGAATGTGGCAGGACACTTTGTCGGACGCAGCACAAGCGGTCAATCTTTTGCCTGGAGTCAGGAGCTTCTGGAAGAAGGAATGTGCGGTGGAGCAGTCGTGGGAGTGACAACAGGCGAGTGTGTGGGTATTGTGGAGGGTATCGTCCCAGTGGCCGTAGAGAGTGAAAAGCCGCCAATACAAGATAGAAAAGAAAGTGCGACTTGGCAGATGCGAAAGTCGTTGGCGGGCCATGTGGCGTTCATCCCGTCAAGTGATGTGAGCCAAAGAACTTTCTAGTAACGGGCATGGAGGTGCCGCCTTATGTATGACTGCTGCAACTCGCTCTGTCATGCTGATGCGTCCCGCTCATGGAGACGGAGAAGCTTAACAATACATGACGCTTGTATAAAGATTTATGAAACGGGAAATACGTTGAGCTACACGTTGTTTGTTACTTCTAATGGCATTCTATCAACCACACCCACGCAGTGTAATAGAGCAAACCATCGGTATTGACCACTTCAAACCTTCACAGACAAAAGTTAATGCTGCTGATACATACTTGTCAGCATGTCTGTTGTTGCAAACAATGCAGACACATACTCGTCTCGAACTCAATCTATCTCTGAAAGCTTCCTGGACTCGGCGTGGTTGATTTACGTGATTTATTTGGATGTCGAAGTTGTACCTCAATGCACATTCTACGATCTACGAACTATCTTGAGCAAATGCTTTTATGATAGCGGTGTGAGGTGATCGGCTCTTTTATAAATACGATATCGCACTAGAGCTCGCATTTGAATGGAATGATCACATTGCTATCGTACCCCAGTTTTTCTACAATAACGCATGCAGGAAATGAAGTCATTGCGTATGAATGCGTAAGACCTGCCTTCCTAGGTAAATTCAAGATGTCATGCGTCCGAAAAGGCTAAGTGCATTTGAGACCATATATGCATGCCGAAGCATAAAAGTGCACGTGTAAGTACACATGTAGCTTTCTGGCACAATATCTGACAGACTCTGACCAAAACAACAAACTCAGCCTAACCAACACCAACATGCATCTCGAAAGTCAACCAGGATGACGCTCTTACATTACATGCTTAACATTATGGACTGGCCACCAACTCCGAAAGCTATCATCATTGCTTGAAGAGAAAGAATCATTTACAAGGTCGGTGTTGTGTCACAAGGCTTGTGCCGACAACGCGCATTCACTCGCTTAATAAGACCGTTGCGCTACTACACGGAGAGTCAACTAAACTTTCGACACCACAAGTCGTCATTGTCATTAGCTCGACCCATTCCGACAGCTTTGTATGTACTTGTCGGCGGTTTGATTGCGAGAATACGTTACAAAGATATACGCTTCTCAATGTGTCGCGGGAGGTTACTTCGTTGTGCAAATCCGCCGCTTTTGATGCGAAAATGGTAACTCCTCACATTCAATGGAAACCCTGAAGACGATACAAATTTCATGTGGCCAGAATAGTGATGACTAGATTTGACAGTCTTTTGATCCTTTCGGCAACTACTTATGCATCGAAAATTTCTGCATAAAGTCAAAGTCCCGCTATGGCAATTCATGTTTAACCTGTACAGCCAACTGCAAGATTGTTGAGTCCTGCAAGAGGTTACGAGGTTATTGTAACGGTGTTTACCTGGTTATTGTATTGGAGTTCTTTGGTTAACGATCGATCTTAATTATTGATTGGCTTTCGCTGTAATAGTTTGTAACGCGCCGTTAGGAATCTCATGAGCCTATCCTATAGCGTCATATACACTATTAAAACTTGACTATATCATTACATTTTAACGATGTTTTTTGACGTCACTTTTAGATAGTGTCAGGGTCGCTGCTATTGACCGTAAGTTTAACGCTATCGGCTTCCATACCCGCAGATGTATCAGATAAGGAAATCAACTAAAATGTTGTGTCTTTAACACACTCGGAACTACTCTCTCGTACGCGGGAGGATCTCAAAAGGAACATGACGATGATGAATGTGTGGTGAAGCGTGTCTAGAATTGGTTGGTCGGAGGACCGTTAGGTCAAAGAGAAAGAGACCCGCCAAGGAGGAGCGACCGTTGGGTAAGGGACAGAGAGACGGGGCGCTAAAAGGGACGGGGAACGACCGTTGGATAAGAAGAATGTACGGTCAAATCGTGCTAGTTAGCCGCCATTCAGAGGATTTAACCGCGGATAGGCCGATGGACCGCGGTTCCTCGAGGTTGTCTTCCAAAGTAGACCCTAGTATATCATTGGTAGACCTTGGTTTTTCACAAAGGCAGATCTCGATATTTGGCTAATGGACCCTCTGCCCGGTCTCTAAAGGCTGACCTTGGTCCTTCTTCAATGAACCTTGGTCCTTAGTCGATAGACCTTGGCCGTTCGGTCCATGAACTATCGGCTTCGGTTCCTGAAGGTCGAACTCGTTCCATAGGTCCAGATACCCTAGCCAAGAATCAAGAATCAGGACTCGGGGTAAAGATAGAGTATAGGAGCTAAAAGATAGAACTAAATTAATTACTACTCAGTTTGCGATCTACATAGTACGCCTTCGCCGTGCTCTCAAGTAACTTGCTAAGTCTACCCACCTGTTTCGGGAAGGGTTATACATTGGCCCCCGTCGAAGACAGTTGTGTGGTAAGACCCAATGTGAATAGAGCCCCAGGATACATTTGGCCGGTGAGTTCGTGTGAATAGCCCCCCCAACTCAACCCACTTTAGGAAGCGGTCTCCCTACCTTAGTAGTCCGGGAGCAGGTAAAGGCCAGGCAATTAGCACCCCTGAGACATCAAGGAAGGAAAAGGCAAGGGTATCTCCCCTAAAGAATTTGGTTATAAGTCCACCCTCGACCTAGTCGATCGAGTGGCCACCTATCCGCCTACCGAGTGAAGTATACCCACTCGAGGCACCCCAAGGTCGACCTCTCTCAAGGCCGACACCACATCTCAACCAAGTCTTCCGAAGAGTGCAGCCCGCCAGCCGACGGGTACACAAGGTGAGAGAAGGTCTATACGCGGAATCGGGTACCCCGTCCGGTAGTCGGCAGTCCGGCACAGTGAGTGGCTTGGGGTCTCATTACGCAGTTTTTAGAACTCACTCCACCACAATGGTGCGCGTGCCTGAATCTTAGGATGACGCGGGATATTACCGCGAGTCCCAAGAAGATGAGGATGTTCAAGCTAAGATTGAGGAAAAGACCGAAGAGTCACTGGAAGACCGATCGCCAGTGAGTACACAAGAAAACAACAAAGTATCGAAGAACCGACCGGACCTTGGGAGGGGCTCGGTCAGAATTTATTGAAGAGAAACCGAGATACCCTCCCTATGTCCTCGTTGAAGACACTTTGAATCATGATATCTATCATGCCCTAAAGGATCAGTCAAAGTTGCAAACCGATAGACTATTGTTCCCAAAAACTAAGAACATACAAAAACTAAAAAACGATCGCTATGTCCAAGCCGACCAAGCTCCAGATGAAGGCACCAGGTGACACCAAGTCGGTAGGCCCCTTGACCTCAAGACCCTTGTCCTGGTCGGATGCTGACGTGACCATGGCCTACCATAGACTCAAGCTTAACGTGTTCCTGGAGAGTGACCTCGTCACCAGAGCCCTCGAGATCCGACTGCAGGGTCAGCTCAGTGGACCTGTGTCGACCCTTCCCAAGCAGAGGACGGTGACATACGCGATCACCGCACTCGTGACCCTTCATCGCGAGGTAAGTATGGCTGCAGAAAGGTTAGAGCCTGACGCCTTTTTCTCCCTAGGGCTCACCAGTACCAAGACCACGTTGTAAATTCTACACAAACGTCTGGGTATCCTGGTGGGAACTACCCCAGTACTACTCGACTCACCTCCTGCTACCGCTGCAAAAGCACCGTTTGACGACAACCAGATAACCTTTCAAGACATCGAGGTCCTCCCTCGAGAGCAATGATCAACCAAGGACCCAAGGTCTATGAGAGGTCTATCACAGACCACCTTGACTCAGGGTCCTCAGGTCCCTGCAAGGAAAACATCGCGAGGGTCGCCCGTCGCTAGTCACGTGGGCCGAATGACACTAGGACCGACCGGCATGTCGCTGCTGCAGGCCCGAGCGGAGAGCGCGGACGACAAGCAGCGAGCTCACGAAACGGCCACGTGTGTACAGCCAATGGAAAGACGGGCTTCTGATAGGTCGAATTTTCAACCAATCAGAAATGAGCCAAGACTAGTACCGAAGTATACCTCGTCACGTAACGAAGTTGCCCGGGAAGGCGTGTCTACCAACCCGGTAGGTAATTTAAAGGCCTTCTACGACGTGGCGATGGCAAAATTCTTACAAGAACGCCAAGTCCCGCAAGCACACATTGATGGAAATCCGGCCAGAGGTCGACAGAGGGCGCAGAGGTCAACGGCCCAGCTGGGTCCAAGTGCAGGTATGCAAGGTACAAGAGACCAAGGGATGACAGTGGATACGTGGATATGGAGTCGGTCGGTTCGTGCGAATACGACCCAGATGACATGGACCTCGATGGACCTCTGGCGAGAATGGCCAATGCCTCCCTGGGACAGGTGCCCAACATGGTCCCTCGTATCAAGCTCTCAGCGACCTGGGATATCAAAAAGTTTTATGGAAAAGACCTAGATGAGGACCGAGTGCGCAGCTGGGTGACCACTGTGAAGACCGCGTTCACGAGGGAACAAGCGTCAGATGGGGAGAAGTATCTCGTATTTGGAGGACTATTGACTGATTTGCCCAGAACTGTTACCGTCAACTAGGTTGCTCTGTTCGTGGAAATTGGAAGGATTTGATACAGGAATTTCAGATGCGGTTCTTTGGTTTAAGGGTATTAGTGGTCCGCCAATAACACCACGTGAAGAAAAGGTCGGGCAAATCCCCGCTGGACTACCT